GAGAGAAAAATAAAAAAAATAATAAAGCTTTTGGTCGTTAGACTGTCAGCTCTGAGATACCATAAAGAATATTGCTTTGATCACTTATATTTTTCACTTACCAATGCTGCAATGGCAGCATGGTTTATATACAGTTTGCATATACACGCATGCAATAAACAACAATAAAGATAGCAGATAAACAACAATAAAGGTGGCAGTAGCCATGTGATTGTCTGGCTGGGATTATTCCTTCTGTTGTCCAGGTTGTATAGCAGATAGTTGAGAGAGTTGTGCAGGTTGGGATTATTCCTTCGGTCTGTTGTCCAGGTTGTACAGCAGATAGTTGAGAGAGTTGTGCAGGTTGGGATTATTCCTTCGGTTGCAGATTGCAGCGGGAAGGTTGTGGTTGAAGTGGTGGTGCTGACGTGGACCTTTCGTTAGGTTTATCACGCCCCCGCAAGCTGACAGGGCGTTGACGAACAGGAAGCTTGGAGATAAGATAATGGAAGCGAACAGATGACAAACCTTTGGTTAAAAAATCGGCAATTTGGTCTGTGGTAGCCACATAACCAACATCAATTTCCTTGCGAATGACCTTGTCCCGGATGTAGTGATAATCCACTTCAACATGGCGCATGCGAGCTTGATAAACGGGATTGGAAGCAACAGCAATGGCGCTGATATTATCACACCAGAGACGAGGTGGCTGTAATGGAAGATATAGATCACAGAATAGATTGCGAAACCATGAGAGATGGGCAGAAGTATAGGCAAGTTGACGATACTCCGCCTCTGTGCTAGACCGTGACACTCCACGTTGCTTTTTCGAACTCCAGGAAATTAAATTATCGCCAAGAAATATGCAGTGACCGCCAGTGGAACGATGGTTATCAGGGTCGCCAGCGTAGTCAGCATCAGCGAAGGCAGTTAGAGTGAGAGGACTGGGTTTGTAAATTAAACCATGATCATGTGTGCCTTTCAAATACCGTAATATGCGTTTGACTGCAGCCCAATGTGCAGTAGTTGGAGAGTGCATGTACTGACATACTTGGTTGACAGCGTAAGCAATATCAGGACGGGTAAAGAGAAGGTATTGAAGGGCGCCCACAACACTGCGAAAAGAAGATCCATCGGAGAGGGGCTCACCATCATATAAACTCAAGCGTTTACCACTGGGAACTGGCGTTGAGATGGGCTTGGCGTCAACCATATTAGTGTTCTGTAGAAGCTCCAAAATGTACTTGGATTGAGTGAGATAGAAGGCAGAAGGCGTCCGGGAAACCTCCATCCCCAAGAAGTAGTGTAAGGGACCAAGATCTTTCATTGCAAAATGAGCACCAAGCTGCGTGATAAACTGAGACAAGTGAGCATTGTTGTTCCCTGTGATTAAAATGTCATCCACATAGATGAGAAGATAAAGGATTGTTAAGCCATCAAAATAGGTGAAGAGAGACGAGTCAGCTTGGGAAGCAGTGAAGCCCAAGTCTTCTAGTTTCTGGGAAAAACATTGAAACCAAGCACGGGGTGCTTGTTTCAAACCGTATAGGGACCTTCGAAGTCGACACACATGAGAGGGAAACTGTGGATCAATGAACCCTGCAGGTTGGCGCATATAAACTTCCTCATTCAAGGTGCCATGAAGGAAGGCATTTTGAACATCAAGCTGGCGGATAGGCCACTGAAAGTGAAGAGCAATAGAGAGAATGAGCCGAATGGTGGCATAGGTGACCACCGGACTGAAGGTTTTGCAGAAATCAATGCCTTCTTGTTGATGAAATCCATTTGCAACTAGTCTAGCTTTAAAACGCTCGATGGAACCATCAGAGTTCTTTTTTATGCGATACACCCATTTATTTGGTAACACATTCATAGAAGACTTATAGGGTACCAAAGTCCAAGTGCCTGTACGCTGTAAAGCGTTAAATTCATCTGCCATTGCTTGGCGCCATTGGGGAGACTTATTGGCCTGGGAGAAACATGTGGGCTCAACCAAAGTATTAGTAACAGTAGTGATGCAAGCATATCTGGGATTTGGTTTTTGAATTCCTTGTTGACCACGCGTGATCATGGGATGAATGGATGGAACAGTGTGAGAAGTGGTGTTGGCAGGTTCAATATTCACGTGAGTAGTGGGAGTTGGTGGGTAAGAATGGGAGTCTGGGGTAGAGGATGGAAGGATAGTATGGGAGGCCGGGGTAGGGAGCAGGGGAGAGGGTGAGGTGGCGACAAGGGAAGGAGGGGTCCGTGGGGTCGAACGTGGTGGGGTGTACTGGAAGGTATCAATGGGCAGGACATGGTCCAACTGACTCGGTTTTGACAAGGTCGGAGTAGCAAGGTCTGTATAGGGAAAACTCTTTTCATTGAAAATGACATGACGAGACAGAAAAGACTTGCCAGTGGTAGGATCATAACATTTATAACCTTGATAATTTAATGAGTATCCTAAGAAAATGCATTGTTTTGATCGAAACTTAAGTTTAGTATCAGTGTATGGACGTAAATAGGGAAAACAAGCACAACCAAATACTTTGAGAAAATCATACTGGGGTGATTTTGAAAACAGTTTTTGGAAAGGGGAGACGCCATTCAAGATTTTGGTGGGAAGACGATTAATGAGATAATTTGCAGTGTGAAAAGCGTCATCCCAGAAAGTGTGAGGAAGAGACGCATGAGCAAGTAAAGTTAAGCCAATTTCAACAAGATGACGTTGTTTACGTTCTGCGAGACCGTTTTGCTCGGGATGATGAGGACAACTGAGTCTATGATGAATGCCATGTTGAGAGAAAAGGTGTTTAAAAGAGGAATTGACAAACTCTCCTCCACCATCAGATTGAAAAAATTTAATTTTGGTGTTGAACATATTTTCTGCAAGCTTTTTAAAATGAACAAAGGTTTGAAAAACATCAGATTTTAACTTTAAAGGATAGAGCCATGCATAACGAGAAAAGTCATCTACAAAAACAACATAATACTTGTAACCATTAATTGAATAAGAAGGAGAAATCCATACATCGGAATGTATTAATTCCAAAGGACACGATGACTGGGAAGAAGATAAATTAAATGGCAACTTATGACTTTTGCCAAGGGGACAGGATGAACAAAAGCCGTAGGTTGCATTACCAGTTAAAGGTAATTTATTTTGGGAAATTAGACGACGCAAAACAGAAATTGCAGGGTGACCTAACCTAAAATGCCAAATAGCATCCGACACTCTAACACCAACAAATGCAGAGACTCCATGGTTGACCACAGAAGAACTTGAAAATGGATAAAAACCATTTTTACTCCGGCCGTGCAAAAGCATCTTCCCCGTTTGAAGGTCCTGAATACGATAGGAATTGGGATATAAGGTCAGTGAACAATGGTTGTCTTTGGTAAATTGATTGATGGAAATAACATTAGTAGAAGCATTAGGGCAGTGAAGGGTGTTGGGAAGGGTAAATGAATGATTGGGTGTGTGAAGAAAAGAAGTGCCAACATGAGAAATGTGCAAACCTGATCCATCCACCACGCCATTAACATTGTCAGTGCCATTGTAGGGACGAGGATTCGAAACCTGATGTAAATCATTGGTGATATGTGCATTGGCTCCAGAGTCAAAAAGCCAGTTTTGAATGCCAGAGGGAGAGGCAGATGCCGGAGACGGTGCAGCAGCAGCATAAGCTTGGAGACGTGGAGCAGGAACACGTCCTTCATAGGCCATATTAAGGCGATTGAAACAATCGATTGCAGAATGGCCGTGACGACGACATATTTGGCATTGGATACGGCCACCAGATTGGGTTGGAGAAGGAGGAGCACCAAGAACGCCATCATGGGGTTGTCGGGGTGGAGGAGCATAGTGGTCTTGAGCTTGAGGACGAGGAGGAAACTGACCACGGCTGCCATTGAAGTGACCACGGCCTCCGCGAGGAGCACCGCGACCACGGGAAGAGCCGGAACGACCTCTTCCAGCAGCAAGGGCAGTGGGCCCAGTTTCAAACATAGTATGAAGCTTTTGACGTCTCTCTGCACCAAGAAGAAGAGCCTTCAAGGCACTGTAATTAATGGCCTCATCCCGTGCTTGTGCAGAAGCAACAGTACTCTCATAAGCAGGCCCAACATTATTTAAAATAATGGCAACAAGATCAGAGTCAGTCACAGGAGAACCAGAGAGGGAGAGAGTGTCAGCAAGACAATTAATACGATCAAGAAACTCAGCAATAGAGGAATCACCACGATGGGTATTCATAAGCTCACTACGCAATTGGAGGAGGCGGCCAGTAGACTGAGAAGCATACCTGTCACGTAAACAAGTCCATGCAGAAAGATAACTGGTCTTACCAATAAGAGAGGCAAGAACTGTGGGATGAACCGAACTATTGATCCAAGAGAGAACCATAGCATCGTGCTGAATCCATGCATCAAAGTCAGGATTGGTTTTATCAGTGAGTTGGCCAACATCGTCCTTTAAGAAGGCAGGAGGACATGGGTTGGTTCCATCGACAAAAGACACCAGATTCCTGCTGCGAAGCAAGGGCAACATCTGGGCATGCCATAGGGGATAGTTGGTACGATCCAACTTGATAGTCAGAAAGTTGGAAGCATTTGGAAGAGAGAGATGGGAGGGACTTGAACTGGACGCCATGGGAGAGAAAAAAATAAATAAATAAAGCTTTTGGTCGTTAGACTGTCAGCTCTGAGATACCATAAAGAATATTGCTTTGATCACTTATATTTTTCACTTACCAATGCTGCAATGGCAGCATGGTTTATATACAGTTTGCATATACACGCATGCAATAAACAACAATAAAGATAGCAGATAAACAACAATAAAGGTGGCAGTAGCCATGTGATTGTCTGGCTGGGATTATTCCTTCTGTTGTCCAGGTTGTACAGCAGATAGTTGAGAGAGTTGTGCAGGTTGGGATTATTCCTTCGGTTGCAGATTGCAGCGGGAAGGTTGTGGTTGAATTGGTGGTGCTGACGTGGACCTTTTGTTAGGGTGTAGAGATTTATCCAAACTAGGTTTATCAGTCCTCATCATCATCTCGTTTGTTCTTATCATGCACATCAATGCGACACTTGTTCAGAAACGGAGCACCACAAAGTTTTGGATTCCCCTCAAATGCAGAAGCTTCAAAGCTTTGGAACTGAGTGCTTGTTGGGATTGGTCCTTCGAGATTATTGTAAGAGACATCAAAATTTTTCAAGAAATTAAGGCTCACCAGAGATGATGGGATTTTTCCGGACAAGCGATTCTTGGAGAGATCCAAACCCTCTAAATTCTTAAGGTTAGATATTTGTTCTGGAATGATGCCTGAGAAGTTGTTGTCGTTTAGATATAACCCTTGGAGAACCTGCAGTTGGCCGATCTCAGTAGGTATATTACCGGTAATGTTGTTGAAAGAAAGATCTAGGAATGGAGGAAAGTTAGACGATCTGCAAGACCATCTACGGCGAAAGCCATTGGGATTCATCACCGTGTAAAGAGGAAATTCGAGATCATAATGGTCTGCTTGAGCTGCAACAGGTTCATGCACCATAGCCGGTACTTTACAAAGTTCTTTCGGAAATTCACCTGAAATAAGGTTCATTGACAAGCCTATATGAAAAAGTCTTGGTAGATCAGTCCCCAACCAGCTAGGAATTGTCCCTGTGATTTTGTTGCCTCCCAGAGCCAAGATCTCTAGGCTTTTTAGCTTTGCTAACCATACGGGTATTTGACCAGTGAGATCACAATACGCCAAGCTCAAAAGTCGTAGATTTCGGAATCCATCAAAACCAACCATATCATTGTCAGATGGCATTCCTTCACCGTTAAAGGAGTCCGAAAGGATTAATGCTCGAAGACTTTTGCAATGCATCAATATCTTCATTGCTCCTGTGACATTTTCCAATTGGTTGTAACTGAGAGAGAGGAAGGACAGAGAGTTCAACGAAAGAATATCAGATTGTACTTGCCCTTCTAGATTGTTCGAACTTAATCGAATTGCCTTCAGGGATCTACATGAGTAAAGGCTTGTTGGCAACTTACCAGTGAATTTGTTCCTATACAGGTCAAGTTTAGTAAGTTGAACAAGTTTGGAGAAATTAAGCTTGGTAATGTCTCCTTCCAAGTTATTTCGTCCCAAATGTAGTTCTGCAAGGCTGGTGCAATTCATCAAAGATTGGGGCAACGGACCTTGTAGGTCATTGAAATCGAGCTTTACAATTTTTAACCTGGATAGCTTCCCCAAACGGAGAGGGAGCACTGCACTTAGTTGATTGAAGGAGAGGTCAAGGATTGCGAGGTTGGTGAGGTTGACAATTTTATCACTAATGCCTCCATATAGTGAATTCTGAGGTACTGAAACTTCTTCGAGTTTGATAGCATTATAGATATCTTCTGGAAGTAGCCCTGAGAGATTATTATGACCAGCACGAAAAATTTGCAGCTCGAAACACCTCCCAAAACCGCGGTAAATGTTGCCACTGAATTGGTTTGAGGAAAAATCCAACACTCTAATCAAGGAGTTAGAATGGAGACATATAGAGGATGGATGTACCTGGAGAAGGAATTGTTGCTGATGTTGAAACTTGTCAAATTCCAAGCATGCATGAAGAACGAAGATGGAATTGGACCATGGAAGCGATTGCTTGACAAATCGAGTGTTCGGATGTTGTCGAATGTTAGAGACAAAGGCAGTTCTCCAAAAAGAAGGTTATAGCTCAAATCAAGAACCTGAAGACGATTCAAGGACAAGAAGTGTTTATTTTCAAGTGAACCATGAAGTGAATTGTGGGAGAGATTCAAGTGGGTGAGATGCATGAGGTTTCGAAGTAACAATGACGAGGTAAAAATATCTCCTTCGAGCTCTTTTGAGGGTAAGAGCAAATGGATGACCCGACCTTCCGAATTACAAGCGATGCCTTCCCAACGACAGCAGTTAACGGATGTCCAATTTAAAGGAGAAGAGGATAGAGTAAGGGCGAAGGACAAGAGAGAGTGACGTTCAGTTTGGTTGCATGCATGGATATTTGTAGATATAATGGACGTGAATAAGAGGATCATGAAAAGGAAGCCATTTGCCATTGTGTTAGAAGGCTGTGGTACCAGTTTAATGCATTTTGTCTTTGTAGGATCTCGAGTCTCTGCATTTATAAAAAAAACCCAATGCAATTTGTCAACCATTTGGCAAACAACCATAATCACACAATGCAATTTTTTTCCCAACGTTGAATAGAGATTTTCCACTAAAGAAACAACAAACGACGACCTTCGCTAATTGGATCTACTAAAGAGAATTCAAGATGGGGAGATGATAGCAACAAAGATAATAAGCTGAATTAGGCCCGAAGCACATGAAAACATTAAAAAAAAAAATGCTAAGTGCTTTTTAGAAGAAAAAAAAGCATTTTATCTTCTTCATGTGCTTCTTTCTAAAAGCACTTCAAGTAGTGTTTTTTTTTTTTTTTTAACTCACACTTACGGTTAGCTTTTTTTGCCAAACGTTATTAAAAACTCTTTAGGTGATCTTAAAACACTTTTAGTAACTTTTAAAACGTTGTCAAACATGCCTATTCTTGCCAAGCCCCAACTCCAAACTAAGAATAATAGAGAAGTAGTAAGTGTTCTTTATCTCAAAACTTAAAATGCATATTTGACCTAGCAAAATGACATTATTTGGCTAAAATGCATATATATTGTAGAGAAACAGTGAGTGTTGTTCATCTTGCCGTGTATTAAGGGCACAAATAGGATATCGAGGACCACAACCTTGAAAAGTCTCAAAATGTACTTGATATGAATAAGTATACACGTTCAAGTTAATTCATTCCTCGATTTGGTCCATAATTTGCTCTGCTAATTAAATGTCATGCATCTGGACTTTTCATATGAATTAGTATACACGTTCAAGTTAATTTCCCGGTGAAACGATTTTTCTTGGAAGATTAGACATTTCTCATTTTTTCAAAGCATTGGGTTTTGTATCTGACCTATCATACTTGCAGTATCTATCCATTAAGATGCCGTTTTTACGCCGTAGTAGTTGTTGACCGTAATTAAGATTGCCCCTAGGGCTGGGCAAGTGACACTATGAAGAAAGTTGAGGTTTCACTACAAAGTCAATCGGCAATATGAGGAGTACCTCATCCTCTTATAAGCCCTTGCATAGTTTAGTCCTTCACCAATGTAGGATTTTGTCCGCACATTCTCACATGACGAAAGTTGGGGGTTCCACCATGGCAATATGAGGAGTAGCTCATCTTCTTATAAGCCCTTGCATGGTTTGGTCCTTCACCGATGTGAAATTTTGTCCACACATTCTCACATGAAGAAAGTTGGGGATTCCACCACAAACCAATTGACAATATGATGAATAACCTAACTCCTTGTAAGTCCTTGCATGGTTTGGTCCCTCACCGGTGTGGAACTTTGTCATCACATTCTCACACGTCTCCTTACGTGTGGCAAATTTTCAAGCTTAACACATAGACAACATAAATTAGGTGACTTGGAGCACGTGTTGCCGTTAGGCTCGACACTTGAGCTAACTTGCTCTGATACCGTAAGAAAGTTGAAGTTCCACCGTAAAACTAATTAGTTATGTGGAGAGTACCCTACTCTCTTATAAGCTCTTGCATGGTTTGGTCCTTTGTTCTAACATTTTCACTGTACCAGCATCGCTATCACCGCCATATCACCATTGCGACCACTGAGACCGTACCGCCATTATAACGCAGTTCAGCAGTAGAAAGAAGTCTACGACCTGTAGTGTGCTGGTTACGGAAAGAAAAGCAAAGAAAAGATACGGTTATGCTGCTGTTCAACTCATCTTGGAGAATAGACTACGGTTCTACGGTAAATTTTGCATCCACAACATAACCTTGTAATCAATAAAATTGTGACCAAACTGGAAAATAGAAGCCAAATCTGAAAAATAAAATCCATCGACCACACCCGCAAGGCTTTTGATCAATGTTAAAATATTGGCAAGGCATGCCGGATATTTCATGCGTGTGAAGGTGAGACATATCTTCCGGCAATGGCAGTTCACCGAACACACATTTTTCTCATGAAAAGAATATTGCACTTCAGCTCGATGAACGCTTCGTTGTAATATTGGCAATTCGGCATGAAACTTTGTAAACAAATAAGGGATGAGGTTACCATACGCTATTTCCTCTGTTCCTAGGAATGCAGAAACTTAAGCACACTCCCCTCGTTTCTCATTCGCTGCGCTAACAGAGGATGAGGTTACCATAGCTAGTTCCAGTTTTCTGTTTTTGGCAGCTCTGATATGGTCTGCGAGCGAAACTTCTTTCGAATTTTCTCTCTCTTTACAGGCTCAAGATCCAGTATCTCCAAAGATGAGATATGTGACATGCTTGCTAATGTCCCGTTGAGCAGCAACCTGGCCATCTATTAAAGTCTTTCTGTCCAGCTATTAAGAATAAAGAGTAGAATGCAGTAAGACACAAACAAGTAACATTGAAAAACATTAGAAAACATAGAAAGGAATAAATACGCCGATCTAGCAAGGTCCCTAAAAGTTTAAATCCAAGAAATCAAGATCGATGGTCAACAGTAAACTACATAATTTCTGCTAACTAGCAATTACCTTAGTTAATCTCTTGTTACGTTTCAGCCCTTGAGGAACTGTCAACTCTTCATCATCTTCATTAATTACTCCATCTTCTTCGCAATCAAGCCTTGCCACCGTTTTTGCTTTAGCTTGTCCTACTTTCTTTGCTCTTATGTTCGCATGCTAGTGGAATACATGTAGCATGAGTGGAAGTGAGAAGGTTGACATGAGAAGGTAAGTGAGAATGTTGCTAGATATTATAACGAGACAACCCATCTGATTTATGAAGTTCTTATGTTTCATACGAGTATATGTGACAAAGACTTAGTACCTATGAGGACGGGGATGCTCAGACATCTTCTTTCTAAACTGAAAACATTGAATGTCAATGAAATTGCAATTTTCCAAAGAAAAATAGCTGATTGAATCTTATATGCTAATTCAAAAGCATAAATATTCGAAGAAAATATCATTGAATCATACATGACTTCACCCTTGTGGTCTTTTAACGCTTGTATCGTTCTCTGCTTGAGTCACTCACAAGTCTCAGCATTATACGAAAGATCAAAACTTCAGATTCAACCAAACTATGAAGGTTTAAAATCCAACAAACATTTACTATCAGTTTCTATGTACCTGAACTATGTTTCCTGCCTTTGTTCCATGGTATCCTCCCTTTGTTGGCTTGTCCTATTATTTTCTGTCTGTGTTTCTCCTTTTCTTCCTTCCTAATACTCATCAGAGACTCGCTGTCATTAACTGATGGGACCTCCTTGCTTAAACTTTGCTCCTCGTATGCATTTATGTCGAGGAAAGAATGATGGATGTTGATAATATCACAATTTTCACCCATGACAGCACTGATGCGTGCGGCTCCCAAACAGTGAAGTCTAGGGAAGGATACAAAGGCAACCAAGGGAGACAAAATAGGTAAATAATAGCTCCAGTTCTCTGTGTTCTGCCGAATGTTAGTGGCTTCCCCCACATATCCAACCAGTGGAACATGATTGAGAGTTGAGTATGGAGTAGCCAATCCCCTGACGGAAACCCCGAACATCAATCAGAAGCTGATTTCATTCATACAAATTATCAACCAACAAATAATGCAAACATCCATGACCGTGTGTAAATCACCTGTCAAGATTATTCCATACAGGCAGGAGACGAGACGAGGTGATCAGACTCGGAAGCTCGGGTTTGGGAGTGAATGCTCTTAATCAACCAAGCTACATAACCCTTATTATTCAATCAGTATCAGATATGCAATGCCACCACTAAAATCATCATACAGCCTCATTTTTCTTGTACATTAATCACATTTATATAAATCCCAACTAGCAAGAAAGTATGGTTCATGCCACTTAGTACTATAGTCTAGTTGTATTTATTTTCACTTATAAGTGAGAGGTCTTAAGTTCGGTTCTTGCCAAAGCCGAATTTGAACCATATTACTGTTAGCTCATTGTGAGACTAAGCCTAACTCCTCTTATTTAGCATAGATTAAATCGTTTGTTAAAAAAAAAAAACAAACAAAAATAGTTTCATGAATATACCACGAGAAGCCCAACTAGCTACATATGTTCCGGTCGAGTCCATACTACGAAAAGACCATACTCTCGACAAAGCCCATTTAACTTGAATATTTACTCATATGAAGAGGCCCAAGGTATCCATCCACGTATAAAAACACACAGAAGAATCACTTACTCGGAAAACTCCCAACCCCTCACCCTTCTCTCTCCGCTCTCCTCCTCTTCCAAAGGGTTAGGGTTTATCCTCTCTCTTCACCACCTCCTCCTCTCTCTCTCTCTCTCTCTTCTCCCTATGGACGCAACCAAGAAGCGCAAGCTCGACGAAAACGGTGTCGTTCTGGACACAGATCCCTCCTCCGCCCCCAAGCTCTCCCCCGAAGACGCTCGCAGGCTCATCGAGCGATTCACCCCCGATCAACTCCTCGACATTCTCCAGGACGCCCTCTCCCGCCACGTCGACGTCCTCGACGCCGTCCGCTCCATCGCCGATCCCGACGCCTCCCAGCGTAAGCTCTTCATCCGCGGCCTCGGCTGGGACACCACCACCGAGGGCCTCCGATCCCTCTTCTCCGCCTACGGAGAGATTGAGGAGGCCATCGTCATCCTCGACAAAACCACCGGGAAATCCAAGGGTTATGGGTTCGTCACGTTCCGCCACGTCGACGGCGCTCTCATGGCCCTGAAAGAACCGAGCAAGAAGATCGACGGCCGCATGACCGTCACACAGCTCGCCTCCGCGGGGAATTCGAACTCCAACACTGCCTCCAACAACGTTGCCGACGTATCGTTGCGGAAGATATATGTGGCCAATGTTCCGTACGACATGCCGTCGGATAAGCTCTTGGCCCATTTTGCCCTGTACGGGGAGATAGAGGAGGGGCCGCTAGGCTTTGATAAGCAGACTGGGAAGTGCAAGGGGTATGCGCTGTTTGTGTATAAGACTCCGGAGGGAGCTCAGGCGGCACTCGTCGATCCGGTGAAGAACATCGAGGGGAGGCAATTGACTTGTAAATTGGCGATTGATGGGAAAAAGGGCAAGTCAGACGGGCCGGGTCAGGGCCAAGGACCCGGGAGTGGGTCCAATACGCACGGCGATGGGATGGGGATGGCGCCACCGTCTTCGATTCCTGGGCAGTACGGCATCCCAGGTGGAATTGGTTCTTATGGTGGGTATACCAGTGGGCTTCAGGGCCAGCCTCCGTTGGGTCACCATCCATTGGGTGGGCCTGGGTTGTCTGGTATTGGAAACCAGGTGAATTCGGGTTTGGGTGGTGGTGGCGGATATGGAGGGTTGGGTGGGCCTTATGGTAACTATGGCGGCCCTGGGGGTTATGGTTTAGGTGGTGCTGGTGGGCTGGGTGTTGGACTAGGTGGTGCTGGGTCGGCTGGGGGTGGTCCGGGTGTGGGTACCGGGTCATCTTTGTATGGATTGCCTCCGAGTTCAGGTGGGCTACCATCTGGTAGGTATCCAGAGGGCGGGCACTACGCCCTGTCAGCATATCAGAATCAGCACCACCAGCAAGCTGGGACATCCCCGCATCCAAGGGTTCCTCAAGGTGGCATGTACCCAAATGTGCCACCTTATTTCTGAGGTATTTTCATTGTTTTATCTTTTGCTATTATGTGTATAGCTTGGTGGTGTAGGTTGAATTTCTTGGTGCCTGGTTAGAATACTTGTGTATGATTGCTGCTTCTTGTTTTGGTTCTTTCGCTACAAATTTTATGGCTTAGACTAATTGTGTATTGCATTTGTTTTTTCCTTTTGTTTACATGTGTGCCTAGGATGTCTTTGTTCATGCTTCTGCGTGAATTCCCTTTGCTTTTGTTGATTGAGAGGCGATCAAGTGTTTCATTTTTACATAAGACGAAGATGTTTTCCCTTTGCTGTAGTATTTCTCTTGTTTTTTATTTTCAATGAAATGATTTAACAGTACTTTTTGTGTTGCCTCCAAAGTTTTAATTTTAGCAAAAATAGTAGATGTGGATATTTCATTATAATTTATGATGTTGGGTCATATTTAGTGAAGAACTTTAGCAATTGAGTTTCCAAATGAATTTTAGTGTTTTCTATTTTCTCTTAACCGATGAAATTTATATGACTTGAAATTTGAATTATGTGTTAAGTGTTAACTTTTTAGTCCTTAATTATGGAGTAATATATTACAATCTTTAATCTTTACAAGATGCTTCTCCAGTCCACATAGTGAAGCCTTTTTTGTTTGGTGAGTGTGGATGGAGTTGTGTGCATTTTTTTCTTTGATCAATGTGCGTGGAAGCTTAATGCTTGAGAAGGAATTCAATTATCTCTTTTGTGACTTTTATTATATTTTATGTATTTGTATACAGTTTTTGTTGGGAATTTGATGGGATTGATTGAGCGACTTATCATAACTTTAAGTGATAGAGTCCAACAGTAATGTCATTAGTCTAACACTATAGATTCCAATAAGTGACGGTTTCTGTGTCTACTAAGAGCCTAAGACATGAGGAATAAAAAAAATAGTGGGTCTTACTGTAAAATCAGATATCACATGAGGGTAGTTTATTCCATACCTATACAACCAGATTCATTCCTATTCATCACTTTCCCAAATCCAATCAAGTAAACATGCCATAGGAGGTATAGCAAGTGACTTCCATGGATGATGAGCTTTGCTCATAGTCAGATTTTAGCGTGTGGGTTTCATCCAGTGTTTTAATACGCAAAAAAAAAGTATAGGGCTTTCTCCGTCTTGCAAATCGAGTGTAGGCTTTGAGACATGAATATTATTACTAAAAATATTTAAATATGTATATGATACAGAATTATGTATATGCATATTTAAGAACATACATGCAGTATCAAATACTTGAGCTAAATCGCTGCTTTCTACGAAGAGCTTGTATTTTGTTATTGGAGGTTAGTGGTTGCTCTAGTGACTGCACTGTGTAATATTCGAAGCATTCGTATCTTTGTAGTTGTAATATTCGAAGGGTGATATAAATTTGGCTTTAGGAACTTGTGGTTAATAATGTGTGTGTGGAGCTTTTGTAACAATTGATTTGGAGGGTTAATGAAGTAGTGGGATCATTATGTGATTGCCTTTTCTTCTCCTAAAAACAAAAAATCATGCATAGGCATTGCCTCGAATCATTCATACATTTATTTGAGGAAAGATTTGCTTTTTTCTTGGTCATTGCAAAGTTGAGCTTGACTTACCAATGAAACCGTCAAAACATTTCCACATTCCAGTATTCTATTGATGTAAGCCAACTATTGGTTGTTAGTTTTATTTAATTATTTTTATGCTCAATGAAGTATAGCCTGCTGTAAGATGATGAATTCATCATCTAAATTTTGATACAGTCGTATTATTTGTTTTTTTTTTTTTTGTCACTTTTGAATTATCTTATCATTTTATTGTTCTCTAGTTGTGTGAGTATTTTCTAATATTTTGGTAAGGTAGCAAGGATGTTTTGATTTTGTATGTTAGTGTTAAAGGTACATGAGCTATCACTATGCCCTGTGATTCGTTTTGATTTTATTTCAAGTTGTGTGAAATGTGTTTTGTGGGGTCATTGATTTGATCTGTTGGCGTGTTTATTGAATTGATGTGTTTGTGTGCTTTATGGTTCAATTGAACATGGATTGAGTTATTGATTGATGTTTGATTCAGGTGTATGACCGCTTGTTGGCGCAGATGCTTTATATGGTTCTGGTGATTGCGTGATTGCAGACTATATGCTGTGGTTTGATGATTGTATTAGCTGTGCTTTTATCGCCTCTTCATCTGCACCTTTTAAGATGTAGGTCATTTCCGAGTTATGGTAGCCAAAGTGACCGAATTAGACTAGTTTTCTGTATTCTGTCGGGAATTGATGTGCTCTGTAGGTTTTTTTACCATAAAGTATAGTTTGTTTTTTATAATAACGGGATTTATGTTTCTTTTACTTTGAGAATGCATGTATGGCGATTGTTGCTCTTTCTTTAGTTGATAATTGATATGACTTTGTTTGTACGGAGCTCTCAAGATGGGGGCTTGCTGCTGTTATATGTGTCTTACAAGTGCACATAGGTTACCACATTGAGTTTACGACTTATGTTTGCTGTACAATTATGCTGGTGAGGTTATCTCAAGCTTTCTTTTTGGTGAAAAAGATTGGTTACATTTCATTGGTTTTTAACCCACACTGCAACAGTTGTGGGTTTCCCTATGGTCTCTTATGACTGTGATGTGTTTATCCATTAGTTCCTTTATACGTTGTGAATATTGTGGGGTTTTCCTTGGTGTTCCTGTTATGTATTCAGATTGTTTTTTTTCTTTCTTTCTTAGTAGACATTTGTGCTGAATATGAATTTATGTGACGGTACCCTCCAGTGGAGTCATTTCGACATCGTATCTTGTTATATCCATCCAATCCAGTGATGTGTTATGTTTTCGCTGTCCCGCTTTTTCCGTTTTAGATGGTTTGGTGCTATTTGATTGACAAACTACTCTTCCCTACCAATAATGTTGACTGTTCTTGTCCGAAAAATAGTTTTTTCGTTACACCTAGGAAAATAGTTTCCTTTTTCAAACTGTGGAACGTTTTTCCTGTCTGACGTGATTTTGAGTTGTCTCGCTGTCTTCTCGCCCCATTCTTTTCGTCGCGAGTGATTTCACTTTGTTGGGCGGGGAGTGGAATTTGGGGACCAGAGGCCCGGAAGTGAAGAAGAAGTTGAGGAATATGTCGATGCTTTAGCTTGGTGATATGAATTGTGTTATGGTGGTCGAGGCGGATTTTTTCTGCAAGTGTTTTCTCTTTGTCGGGCAGTGAGTGGAATTTCGGGGCCAGAGGCCCAGAAGTGATGAAGATGTAGAGGAGTACTGTGATGCCAAATCTTCGTGAGATGAATTGTGTTTCGCTGTGTGAGCCGGACTACGGTGATGCACCGTAGTAGCCGAAGGCGTATGATTGATGTTTGAAACTTGTATAAGTGTACATTCTTTTATGTTGAAAGTGAAAGTAGAGAGCGATTGGGCATCAATTTTCAGCTTTATTCGTCGTTACGTTTGTTTTTTCTGATATCTGATATCGGTCTAAGTCATCAATCGGCGACTCGAGAAAAAAAAAAAGAGTAGAACCTTGAAAGATGTACGAGTCAATTTATTGAAAACATGGCCTCTTAGAGGGACGGCTGCCCGAAAGATGCCTCTGTGAATTCAAATTGATTTGTACCCTTCAACTTGTGGGATCAAACTTTAGGCCGACAAGTCTGCCCAACAGCACCTACTCAATGTCTAACCAAACCAGCCATATAAAATTGACGGAAAACAACGGTCACGAATGGTGTCTACAGTGTACATTGTATTAAAGGAGGAAATGAATGCTAACTTGGGAAATTCGACCAGGTTTATCCCTTCTAATTCCATGTGTGTGGGTTTAGTGTGTTCTCAACAATTAGTCTATGAGACGATTTTTTACACTGTTGACTACGAAACAATAATCTGCACAAGAAACAAAAAACAAAGGCAATGCATGCGTTGAAAATTTCACGTACTTTGCGTTTTGCCAAAGTACTGTCACTTACAAATTAACTCGGCTCCCCAAATGATGAGGAGGAGTCATCCTTAAAATACTTCGTGACCAATATTCTAATTGGAATTAATATTACGTATTCGGTAAAAGCATTACGGATTTGACTCGTCTATAGACTTGTTTTTGGTGAACTCGAACTTGACTTTTTTTTTTTAGTAAACGAGTCCGAGCTATGTATTTATATTGGTGCAACCGGCTCATTTGGATTCGTTTGATAATGCCCAATTCCTAGGGGTCAAACATATACGTTTTAAATTATATGTTGTATAATAGAACAACAATATAAAACAACCTCTATGTGTTTTCGTTATGAAAAAATTACGTCCAACAAAGTCAAAACCAATAAATGTTCTAAAAGGGACTCAAAGACTTTGTTTGAGGAAGTTTGAACGTCGTTTTACTATTAGGGTTAGATAGATACGGAATCATGAATAATGAGCTTCATTGTGGACCACTAATAAAATGGCAAATACTAAGACAACCTTATACTATCCGGGCCGGGTTATCCAGATGAACTCGATTTTAGACTCATTTTTACACAAATCAAGTCCAACTCATACCCTTATGAAAATTAAAAATAAGAACCAGATGAATTTACATTAGACAGAGTAATACAATCCAGATCCACAGATGCTAAGAATCGTATGTCTTAATAAAAAGCGAGTGTTTCTATTCCAACCCCTATGTCTTATTTCCCCACCTACTTTAAATTAAAGAAATATTTTGTTGACAAATTTATCCTCTTGCAAAATGGCCTTGAAGGACCTAAACGAAAAAGCATTTTGACAAAGTAAGACTTCTAATTAAAACTAAAGATTTTTATCACAAATGGTCATGAAATTGACGCAACTCACCAACACAATCTCTGAAAATAAAAATCAATTAATGTTATCTATGAATATAGATGCTGCAAATCAATGTCGTTCTTCCACTCTCTTTCCGTCAACTATTATGTTAGTATTACGACATGACATACGCGTTGGACGAATACGAACAACACCACGTGAAAACCACCATAAAATCTTGACTTAAAAACCTAAAAAAAAAAAAAAAAATCCATCTATAAATAATTATAAATTCAATTTGAATATTAAATATAAAGAAAAAGTTATAAAAAATAAAAAAAATAAAAAGGAAGAATAGCAGAACCCTCGTGCCCAGATCGTCCCCTACTCCCCTTCCAATCTTTTTCTTCTCCTTCCATATCCACCAGGACCACCACTGGCCAGTATTGTTCCCCCCACAAGGGCGGCGTCCTTATCATAATAATTATCGTTAATATGATTCATCTTAATATTTTCTTATACGGGTTAAATGGGATTTAAATTATCTCCAAGCAAGCAGTACAGTTCAAATGGACTTGAGATTCTTGTTATCAGGTTGGAGCAGCATGATGGGTTTGATCAGAATTGTCGTGAGCATGGTCTTCATGCATGCATGGGATGCCAAGACGAAATCACAGGGAATATCCTTCACGTGTGTTTGGAGTCGGTCAACCATATAGGTTCTTTCGGTTAATAGTGGTACTTGATGATCATCAAAAGATAATGGAGTGGCATATTTTAGATTGGGATAATTATTAGCACAAAATATATGCTAATAATTAGTATATACTCCAGGGACAAGCACGGCATGGCTTAAAGCGTTTTAGCTTTGGCAATGCATGTACTTGGATGTGAAGAAGGGTGTAAACATTGCATGGTTGTCTCAGGATGCTACGGGAAGAGTTTCAGTAGCGTACCAATTGGATAAACAGAAGGTAACCAGCGATATCTTCAGTTTGGATATATAGTACTTGAGCCATAGAATTGCAAGGCCGACTGGTTATTTATCCAAGTCTCGGTTGAGAAGGATTTCCGAATCCTTGTTGGCAGAGGTCATCTCATTAGCCTTCTTGGTGAAATGAGGTGTTACAAATTGCGAGGTTCGACCCATTAAAAACCTTCTCGGCGATAACTTCTCTCGCCCAAATCCAACCCACGACAACCTTCTCTAGCTGAGATCCTAAGGGAAACTTTCAAAAAGCTATGTTATCTCAAGCTTTTCCATTGACACCATCGAAAATAATCCATTGAGCAAATTAAACAAAAATAATTTTTTAATTGTTTTTTTTTTTTAATTTCTGGTTAAGAATTTAAAATATTAATATTATTTTAGAAATAATGGCGGGTGTGGAAAATATCATCCTGTTGTTTTTTCTTTTAACGGTAGGTGGCAAAGTAAGTGGGGATAGGAGATAAAAACGGGATGAGTGTAGTGGCACTCTAAAAAGCGAAGGGAGGAGAGGACAGGAGGAGGGCCAAGGAGGAGAGCAGGAGGAGGAGACGGCGGCCTGGCTGACCTTTTCCCAATCAAATATTTGGAAGTTTTTTTTTTTGGATTAATAATATTTGGAAGTTCAGTAGGACTGAAATTATATAATTTAAATTTTAGTATTTAATAATGATAATATTATTATCATGCGATTAAGATAAACAAACATAACAAAGACGTTCTTTATTAAACCCTCCCCTTCCTTCTTCCTAAACCTCTCTCCTCCCTCTCCTCTCTCTATCTCTCTCTCTCTCTCTCTCTCTCTTTGCCATCACAGAAAGGTCCAACTGAGCTTGCCGGCGTCACCAGATGCCGGTAATTCTTCTTCTCCTCTTTTCTGTCTTTCTTATTCATTCAAATTTCGTTGCTTTTCCATTCAATTCGCACACTTAAATTTATTTTTGCTGGGTTTTTTTTTCTTCTTTTGTACAGAAAAACCCTTTTTCCGAATTGTAACAATTATATATGCATGTATGTGTTTATATTTGGATCGTTGTTTTGAATTTTGTGTGTACAATTATACGTAGTTTATGTTTTTCTGTATTTAGAGAGCTGCTGTGTTTTTGTTTTTGTTTGCCGTTATGTGAATTCTGAGAATGATTTGATTTCAGTGTGAGTTTTGGGTTTTGGAATTGAATTTGATGATGGTGATTGATGAGATGGTTTGATCAAGTTTAAATTAATAGCTTAATTGTGATTACTATTTGAAAAAAAACTCTGTTTTTGTTCTTGGGCGAGATGATGATGGAAGACTCATGTATGAAATTTATATGAATTTGTTGAACCCTAAATTTTATTTGGTTTCGTTTCTCTTATGAGTTTAAAGATTGAAACCCCCGTTAAGAATGTGCTTGCACGCGGTTGATGTTAGTATTGCTTGAGACTTGCATAAGAGCAGCAAAGGTGGTGTAAATGAAAGAAGCACTGGTAAGGCGGTGTAAACGAAAATATTGGTGTTGCTCAAGACTTTTGTGTTTTAAGTGCTAAAGAATAGGTAAGAGTCTTGAATTTGAGGAACTTTGATATAAGTTAGTGAAGTTTTCTATTTAGTTTTAGAAGACATTGAATAGGTTTACAGAGCCCGCACTTATAATTATACATATACATATAAGTGTATATATATATATGTGTGTGTGTGTGTGTATGAATAAGTATGTTTAGTGTATGAATAAGTATGTTTAATATATTGTACGCACAAAATAGTGATCCTCAGATATATACAAATATACAATCGTTGCATTGATGGTTATCTTGGATATTTCCGTTCTCCATGTTCTCTAGACCAGTAACCTCTCAATTCGTCAGAAATATTTTGGTTTATTGATTTGGTCTTTTCATGCATTTTCATTCACTGTCAGGTTTAGACCAATTTCCTTGCTTCGATTCTATTTTACTGCAACTGTGATGCTTCCCGTAACCTATAATACCTTTGTTTTGTTCTCTTCTGCCTTTTGTTAACTTTATGCGCAGTTTTGTTTGTCACTCGAAAAATTTGTAATCTGGGACTGAATGTGAACTTATTATGCACATTGTAGTTCATCTACTATGATATTCTATGTTATATCTCTGTTTTCTCACTATGCCTGTATCTTGAGCTGGGAGCCTGGGATGGTAATTTTTGCTGTCCTCTCTATGTCTGACTAACGTAAACAACTGAATAAAACAAAATACAATTTGACTGGTTGCAGGTACAGTTTGGTGGTCGTGATGGATTTTAAAAAACTCAAAAGTATGAATTGGGTAGGAAACATTTACCAGAAATTTGAAACAATCCGCCAGGAGGTGGATGGTATTGTGAATCAGGTAATAGGGGCAGAAAAAGCCCAAATGAAAAATATTTCATTTGCATCTTGTCTTTGATTAGTGTGGTTGCTGCTATGCAGTAACTGAAGTCGTCAATTCCTCTCGTAATAATGAATATATTTCTTTCGCAGGACTCAATTAAATATGTTGAAAACCAGGTGCAGACTGTGGGTAAAAGTGTGAAGAAATTTTCTAGTACCGTCCAAGATTTACTTCCTATGGTTAGACAGAAATCTGCCATTAGTGTTAAGTCGAGGGAAAATGTAAAGGAAAATTCTTTGGATGTAACTGCAAACCAATCACCTGGAGAGCCCAATGTAAAGGATCCTGTGAGAAACCAGCTGAGTCTGGTCTCTACGGAAAATGACCTTGCAGACCAGCCTAATCCTCCAACAATGAATACTCTTGAGGTGTCGGAATTATCTGTGGGAAAGATCGATGAAGTTTTGGCAGATGAGAAGTCTTTAGTTGCAATTGAAAAGCAATCTCCTACAGAGCCCAATGTAATGACTCCAGTGAAAAACCAGCCGAGTCTTGTCTCTAGTAAATATCACCTTGCCGATCAACCTAGTTCTCCAACTTTAATAGATACTGTTGAGGTGCCAGAGTCTGACTTATCTGTGGGAAAGGTTGATGAAGTTTTGACAAGTGAAGGTCTTGTAGATGCGACGGAAATAAATCACCTACAAATCTCAATGCAATGGATCGTGGGACAGACCAGCTGAGTGTTGTCTCTAGTACGTATCACCTTCCAGATCAACCTAGTTCTCCAACTTCAATGGATACTCTTAAGGTGTCAGGGTCCGACTTATCTGTGGGAAACATTGAAAACTCATTAGATTTAACAGAAAAGCAATCGCCTATGGAGCCCAATGTAATGAATCATGTGACCGAACAGCTGAGTCTTGTTGGCAGGAAATCTTACCTTGCAGATCAATCTAGTTCTCCTGCTGCAGTGGATACTCTCGAGGTCTTAGAGTCTGAATTATCTGTGGAAAATACTGATGAAGTTTGGACAAATGAAAATTCTTTAGATGCAACTGAAAACCAAACACCTACACACCCCAGTGTAATTGATCCATACCAGCCGAGTCTTATCTTCAGTAAATATAACCTTGCAGGTCAACTTAGTTCTCCAGCTTCCTTAAATACTCTTGAGGTATTGGAGTCTGACTTGTCGGTTCCAGAGTTTGATGACATTTCACCTGAATCAGTAGGTTAGTATTTTTGGTTGGCTTGTTATAGATGTACTCTTGCTTTCTATGAGAAACCAGTATTGATTAACTTGTGTATTACTATTACAGCAGAAGGCACTTCCAGAACTGCAGAGTTCATGCCTCTGACAGTACCATCTAGAAAGAAGCAAGTTCAAATCTGCGACTCTGTTCAGTATGATGCTCTTAAGCCGTCTTTAGATATTGGTGTGGCAGAATGTGCATTTGGTACTTTTATTTTCTTTCCTGTTGTTCATGTTTAAAACTCCTAGGCTCAAAGTCTTTTGCCTTCATGGAGATATCAGAAGTGAGAATCCTGATATACATTCATATGGATTTTTGTTGGTAGTAAAAGCAATAGTGTTGCGATTGATGTTGCAATCATGCAGAGCCTTAACGCTATCTATTAGCTTTGAACTGATCTAGACCAGATCCTTTTACGATGTCACCTTTTCTCTAATGTCGTAAATTGTTTACAGGAAGTTCAGATGAATCAAGTAGTGATTTTTCGCGCTCTTCTATGGAGACCATCGATTTGCATGATAAGGTAATGCTGGAGGAGAGCTGTGTCATTGTAGATGATAGCGTACTGCACGCTGTCTCTAGCAGGGCAAGAAAACAAAGATCATACAAGGTACATGTTATACGGTATTCCATTGTCCAAAGACTTACAAATCTCTATTGAAATGAATGAGAAGACAAAGAAGATTACATGCATCATTTCAGACTGGCATTTTACGTACTTGATAATATGCTTATGGATTCGTTCTCATATTTAAAGCATATTTACGCTTTACAGTTAACTCTAATTTAGATTTATTTTGCAGTCACCCATCTGAACTTTCTAGAGATCAATGATTTTATCGGAAAAAAGTTTTATTATATATTATTTTTGAAAATTATGAAACTGTATCAGAAAATTATGTGCCTAAATAGCAACATGAGCCTGACTGATCAATTTTCTTTTTTCTTTCTTAAATTCAGAAAAGAATCCAGGATGCTTTTACATCAAAGAAGAGGTTGGCAAAGGAGTACGAACAGCTAGCAATTTGGTTCGGAGACAGTCATATAGAAACCAGCCAACAAACACTCTCTAACGTGAAAAGTTTGGAAACTGATGATGCTTGTGATTCTGAATGGGAGCTCCTGTAAATATGAACGTGTCCCTGTAAATATTTCGACGGAGTGATTGAAGGGCCGCTTGCCTTTGCAGGTAAATATGGTGAGAATTATACCAAACCGCATATTTATAAATCGAGGATGATTCCTCGATCTCATTGTTGAAATATACAAAATAAACTAGTTCAAAATTATAGTATTGAGTTCTAGCTGTTTAGTATTGTTTCTGGATTTTATCTCCTCTTGTCCGTTGTTTGCTGGCTAAGAAGAACAACGAAAGCGTTTTGAATTTTGTATGCTTGCGGTCACCAAATTCAATTCAAGTCGTATTTCGTTTGTTGGTTGAAGAAGATCAACAAAAGAGTTCAATACAAATGCTATTGCAGGTGTCACATCTCTCTTCTTCCTGGAAAAATGCTGCACTACTAATCCTCAATGTTAACATGCAAATGTGCCTTTCGTACATTTTATCGAAGGCTTGATTGTTAAATTCGTGTTACAAAATATTTTGGTGACTCTTCAACAAATGTGCATACAAAATTTCATTCCATGTATCAGGAACCCCAGGTAGGCACCAGTGAATGCAGTCGGCGAATTTTTTAGGATCCAATCTTTGTTTCTTCGTCAAGAGCTTTCCCCGACGTTCTCCATAAACCGATGTGTGTGCATCTTTTCGGTACTCTGACAATTGGGTGATATTCAAAAATGTTACCTTCACTTTCAGATCCTGCATTTGGTCGTTTATAATATCCATGATTTCCATGTTTGAACCAGTTCCCCAGTATGAACCCTCAATCGGGTATGACTCATTGAAGCAGTTTTCGTCACTTCCCGGCTTCCATTCCCAACTCCTACAAAAGAAATTTATGTCAAGTTTCCATGATTATGAATAAAACTCTAAATCGTGAACGCCAGATTCATGACACGTGTTATTATATATGGCAAGGGGCTTTGTGGGACCACCTCTGCATTCAAGATCTTGTGTTTGACTCTCTCTTTTTCCAATATCGCTTTGTATTGAAAAAACATTTTTTCACTTTCCTCTTTACGCTTTTGAGGATGTTCGAGTGAGAAGTGTGAAACTCTTACCATAAATGTGTTGGAGACATGCTCATGAAGAAGACCTTTTGCCTTTCAGGGTTGATGCTGGATTCTAACCAGTCTGCCCAAGTTTGTAAGGCTAGTTTGTATGCCGTGGTGACTTTATATTCTTGTACATCTGGAGATCCATATCTGACAAAAAATGCAAAAAAAAGAAACATAAGGCTTTCGTGTGGTAATGTTTTCAAACAGTTCTTCGTTTGACAGATAGAGAAACACGCGATTCTAACTGAAATCGGAAGCGCAATGAGATTTATAACGTAGGGGTGCCCTACAAATTTATGTCACTCACGTAGCATTGACTGTAGGGCTGTGCATCCACCACACATAGCTCTCAAACACCAAGATATCTACTCCTTCCCAGTGCTTGCCGTGGTTAGCTATGGAGTCAAGCTTCACCAGCCGTTTCAGCACAGTATGTTTCATCTCGTGGTCCGAAATAGACTCCACGAGAAACGGAGCCCAGTAGTACTCAATCGATGCATCAAACTCCTGCGAAAGAAAGAAAGGGTGAGGGGACGTCGAACTCTTGCCGTGAGTAGGGTTTAGTGTTATAAAACGTGAGGTTTACCTCTACTCTGAAGATCTTTCGAGGAGGGACTCTTTGGAGGGACTTTTCTCCTTGTGTTATAGATTGAACCATGCAGACCAGGGATTCAAACTGGCCTCTTTGTACTGAGTCTCCAACAAACATCAGCCTTTTGCCCCTCAAAATCTGCATTAGCTTCAATGCATCAAACCTGAATTTTCAAAGCCAAAGCCACTCACTAAGTAAACAAAAAGACATGGAATGCCTCTAACACATATGTTTTAGCGTGACTGTCACACAGTCACATGGTATTACTAATTCACTAACATAATATGATCAGATGACAATTAATGTTGATATGTGATGGATTAAGGTATAACACTAATAAACAGATAAACGTGTAATGACCTGGATGAATTAGTTAGACCACGTGACAATATGACGGTCTTGTACACTAAAAAATAGAGTTTTGACCTTGGGAGGTTGCAGTCATTTGGTTGCCACCTCCAATTCTTGTAGTAAGAATCAGGCCTCCCATTCCTCTGGCAAGTAACTTGCTTTACCAAGTAGGGGCAGCTCTCTTCTGTATAGTGAGGATGTGACAAATTATCCCACACCCACTTCCCTTCAAACACATTGCAGCTCTCGTCAATCCGGTCCTCCGGTGAAATAACAACTGCCGGTCTCGGTTTCTGGCCTCTTGGCCAGCCATACATCTGAAAGACAAAGCTGTCATTGCTCTTCAAGGCGTCGAGGACTAGGCGTGCGGTCCCTAGGACAAGCAGCGAGGCCAGTGCAGCAGGGAAGAGGGACTGGATTCGCCGGTCGAAGGAGGGCTGCTGCTTTGTCATTTGGGGAAGGGGATGAAGATGGTGGGTGCGGAAGTGCTTGATTGTTAAAGGACATTTTGTTGGTGAAGTATTTGAAAATGGTAGCTTGAGTTCTAAGTGTTTTAGGTGAAGTCATAACATGCAACCACCAGTTGGTAGGATCAAGCTGTGAATCCTGTGATTGCTTTGAGTTCTGATGTGGACCTTTAGATAGTAAACAAATCTTCTTATTATTAAATTAATTTTATTTATTTTTTCAAGTAACAATATTTTCCATGGATTAAGAGAGGTGGCATGTTTAAGCGCATCACCATTTATAGTAAAAATGGTGGCGGTTTCACAACGAAAATACCTCATTTAACACTTCAAAATAGAGTAGTTTAAATGGCAAGTGGAACGCTGAAATGTCTACGCGAGTCTTTTCAGTTTTTGAAAGGGTGAACTGTCGTGACGAAGCCACCAACTGGTCCTTTTTTTAAGGAAAAAAAAAGAAAAATTTAAGCACACATTAATTTCAAATTCTAATTTGTGCATAGAGAAGAATAACTTTTTACATGTAAATAACACTCTCATACTTACAAGTGATGAATTGCCTTGGTGGTAAGGTGTTCCTCTTTAACCTACTGTGTTTCGGATTCAAACCCTCTTCATTCGATATAAATTATTGTAAAATAACACTTGTATTAAAAAAAAAAAATCTCATGCTTGATGAACAAGTTTAAGTGTGATAAGAAACAGAAATTTAAAAATAAAATGAAATAAAATAAACAAAAAACACGATGAAATGTCCAATAAGAGTTGAGACCCAAAACCCTCCCTAAACCCGTACGACCGGACACAAAAATAGTCCAATCCAATCCAAACCTGTCTATTCCTCCCTAACTGAAAATACGATAATCAGTAGCAGTTGTGTCCGTACATTTTGCCCGCGCGTCCTCAGGACGGCTGGGCTGCTGATTTTCACTCTCCGCCGGCGGCGTCTGACCACCGCCTGCTCTGTTTCAGCCACCAAGAATAAAGAGAAGGAGAAGGTGATAGTGGAATCTGGGCCCACCGGCTCCGGGAAGACCCTCCTCGCTCTGGAGCTCGCTAAGCGGCCCAATTTGAGCAAAAATACAATACCCAGTTGTTGGTTTTTGTTGTTCTTTGTTAGGATACTGGGAAAAAGGGGAGGAAACTGGGAAAATTTAGCTTCTTTCGAACTAAGCGGCAAACGGGGTAGTTGGGTTTTCTCTAGATTCTAACGTGCAAGTAATTTAGTTTATTGGGTATTTAGTAATAAACCATTTTGTTTGGTTGATGAGAAAATGTAGGAAGGTAATAGGTAGAAAGTTGACATAGTTTTATACCCGAAATAATTGAATTTGTTTCCTTGAGAATTTTGACTTGTTCTGGTCAATTTCGTGAATCAAGCCTGCCTTCAATCAGTAATGCTAAGGCCCCCGCTTATAGACATTGCCATGATTGAATTTCCAATCTACTTCAGTAAAAGCGGGTTTTATTGGTGTATGGATAACATCACTCTCTCACGAGAACAAAGAAAGCCTTATGGCATTGCCTTGATTGAATTTCCTTTTGCTGACGCTTGTAGAATTAATAGGTAGTGCCGTATTGTCGAAGTGAATTTGTTTGTTTTGGCTTTTGTGCCACAGGTATATTGGGGTCTTGATATTGGATCTGCCAAGCCTTCGCCAGCAGAAAGAGAGGTGCTTGTGTAATTGAGAAATTTGTACATTTGGTGCAGGCATGATTCTACCATTGTAATTGAATTATGGTAATCTAGATTTCTGGAGTATGTTGATTTCAGATGCATTGTATGCCGTGTTAGTTTTATGTTTTCCCATTAAATTAGGTTTTGAATTCTCTTTGATTCCGAATGATTGTCACTATGGTGTTATGTTGTGCTTAAATTTTACGTTTTTATCATTTGTAACACGATGTATGTGGATGCTACTGTTCTGTCATGTGACTCATGTCTTACTTGAATGTTGACCCTTTCAAACACTAGCAGTTCATATTGTCTTCTCCAACAAATACCATAATAACCACAGTTAATGTGCAATTCAGGAATAATACATATGGAGTAACTCTACCGTATAGGTTTACTCATCCGATTCTCCATTTTTTTTCAGGTAGAAGCCTTTCAGTCCTTGTGATTTTTTTTTTTCAGGAATAATACATCAATATATCGTTGATATATCTGCCTGAATATTCACTATTTAGTTGAGTTGTTTTGCATTTAGAAGCTTATGTCCCTCCATTTTACTGATGTTGGATGCATAACATATACATGTTCTGCAATGCAGTCTAGTGGATCACCTCCATCTGCATTTCAAGTGCCATATGATTCTTTCCGGAAACAGTGTGATGCAAATGACGCTAGTCCTTCAACTGATGTTGTGGAGGAAGTAAAATCAAAGGAATTGGACTATGATTTTATTTATCTTTTCCTCTCAATCAAAAGAGTTGATCGTTATAAATCAATTGACTACCGATGTCAAGATATGCTATCAGGTAAATATATTGTAACACATCACTACAAATTGATCATTCGCCTTTGAAGTTTCAAAATCAGATCAGGCAATTCATTTGTTTTACACAACCTGATCTGTTAGGATTACAATTTCAATTGGGGCGAGGTACTTTTTTTTCCTCTCTTTCTTTTAATCTTTTTTTTTTTTTTTTTTTTTGTTTAATTCCTGCAGGAAATGATGATATCTTGTCGGAAGCTAATTGGCTTCTTGATTCGGGTCTTCTTCCAAATTCAAATTCAGCAACCAGAGCAATTGGTTACAGACAAGTATGCGACTGCTATTGTTTATTGTTCTTTAATTTTTGAAGCAATGGTTGTCTGATTTTGTTTCTTTAAAATCGTGTGACACTGTTTTTTTGGTCATTTTATTATTATCTGTGATAGTAGTAACAGTAAGAAATGTTCGATTTTAGGCCATGGAGTATCTGTTGATGTGTAGGCAGCAAGGAGGTAGTTCTCCAAGAGAGTTCTACAACTTTTTATCTGAAATTTCAGAAAGTGTATCAGTAGTGCATTTTACTTCAAATTCATGGATCAAAAGCCATAATACCATATGCTTTGCCAAACTAGGAGACATTTTCAATGTACATTATAAAAATCGTGTTTGCGGGGATACAACAAAACTAAATTTCAGTTAGTAAATATAGGAAGTTGCAGGTTGGATTCTAATTTTGTATTATGATTATCGAATTGTTTTACAGTCTATTCATCAGCAAAAGGAGGTTCCAACTTTCCGTGCATGTTTGTGTCAAAAACCTGGTGCGACAATGAGAGCTTAATACTCCTTGTGGCCTTGCAGAGTAAGATTCTCACACATTACATTCAGTCATAGAATTTTTTTTCAATTTCGTGTGCAGAAATTTTGCAAAACAGCAGCTAACATGGTTTCGCAACGAGCATATCTATAACTGGCTGGATGCTTCCAAACCCTTGGTATTTTTCCAATCTTGTTTTCATTATTTTTCAGAAAGAGAGATTTAGCTTTCCGCCCTCCCAAGCATTGTTCCTATATTATTTTCGTCGATCAAAGTTTTGGCTGTGTAAGTTCTTCATTTCCCCAAAGCCTATGAATCAGTGAATGCTTAATGGACAATTTATGCAGGAAACAGTGCTCGACTTCATTTATGATGCATACCATGATAACACCGAAAATTTGGTTGTGCGTGAATCACTGAGGATGAAGAAAGAATTAACAAGCCATCGAGAAGTTGCCGAACTAAAGGCTTATCGACCCAAAAATAGGTATGATTTACAAACACTGAAGGCTTGCAGCTAAGTTAATTGTTGACTGTTGGGTTTTTCGTCAAGTCTTAATCCTAGAGGCTTGGCAAGATTATTCATCATACTCGTTATTGATATAGTTAAAGATTGTTGTTGCTGACCGCATAGCTGAACCACGTAAATTTTTGGTGTTATTTGTCTTGGTTATTTTGTTTTCAGTTTCCTGAGTTTGTTTTGTTTTTCCTATTCGTTAACGCGATATTCACAACATTGACACAGTGGACAAAATACTAAATAGTTTTGTTTATGACACGAAGGCATTTTATCAGACACGAAGATTGTTCAGACATTCTAGACTGGATAAGAAAAACACAGTGCTCCAACAACAAATCGGAACTTGATCATTCACTTCATTGAGGTTCTATCTTTGCCAAACCAACCAGTGTTACATGATCATCCACTATTCCACCTGAGTTGTGCTCAGTTTGTCTCTGTCGGATCAGAAAATCTCACGAAACAACTCCGGAAAGGTTAGTCTTTGATGCTCTGGCTTAAACCGGTTGTTCATGTCTTAAGGCTCGACCGATGTATCGCTGCAGCCGGCCGAGGACTACATCGGAAATCATTTTGTGAGAACTCGTCATTCAACATATGGATTTCAAAGTCTTGACATTAGCTCTCTGCAGTTGTTAAAATAGCATGAAAAGTTTTGAGTTTGATGGTAATTTTGTTCACCACTTAAAATGTCATAAACTTGTAATTTATAGTGATTTGGTGAATAAATCCACAAGATTACTAATCGTTTAACAATGGACAAAGTGCATGTGGTGCAATATCCTAATTGATAGGGTGTTGGGTTTCTACTCATAAGTTATGGTATGAAACTCCCTTCTCCTGCCGCTGGTCGGGCAGCGGGTAGGTGTCTAGGCGAGGCCTAGGCAGTTTTTTTAATTTTAATTAAATTTATTATCTAACGTATAAATAAATGTCTTTATATGTTTACTTATACCCAAAAAAAAAAAAAAAAAAACTAAAAAACATGATTGTTTGGGATATATTGATTGCAAAATAGAATGACATATAGATTATACAATATTAGAACATATTGAAAACATGAGGAACATGCATATAATGGGTGTTGATCTAAGTATTCAACAACTTTCTTATAATTTATTGAAAAAATAAAATGTAAAATGGAAGTTATATATTTTCTTTTAAAATGACAGTCGCCAAACTAGGTGGATGTTTAGGCGTCATCAAAGTGTCATTTCTTAATTTTCAAATGCTTAGAGATAAGGCAATAATTAACCGTTTAACGCTTAAACGGGACAAAATTTTTTAAAACAATGATAATAATAAATATTATTATTATTTAAAAAAAAAAAAAAGCTAACAATGGACAAAGAGAGAAAATAAAAGACAATGTAGTAGTGATAAACGAATAATGTTCTCATGTGCTTTTATTTTTTCATCTCCAAAGGGGAATAAAAGGAATATAGGCATGAGTCACTCTCCTGCAACTTAAGCGATTTTTGCCAAAAAAAAAGTTGGCTTTAAAGTTTTCTTTTTTTCTATTTATTTTTTTTCTTTTAATTTTTAAGAAAGTGAAATCTGAAAAATGGAATCTTTCTCAAAGGCTCTGTTCATGATAATCCCAAAGAGTCAAGTCACTTGTTTTCCACTATCTCCCATCTGGCATCTCGGTGCAGTCCCACTGCTCATAGCCTATCTTACCACAAAATAAAAAATAAAAAAAATAAAACATTTTAGTTAGGCCTTCATATTGGAAGCCCTTCCAAAAGGCATTGCTTCCTTCACCAATCATAATCTCGGTAAGATGGGCTTCTGCAGATCTAATTTATTACATACCAAAGAAACCATGGTTGATTTGTGATTATCTTGTGGGGAACCAAGATTCTGATAGTTTTTTGTTTTTAACAGTCAATATTATCTATGTTAAGGGGGGAGGGGGATCGATTTAACCTCATAATGGGCTAGCAATAATGTGATTCAAATTCGTCTTGGGCAAGAATCGAACCTAAAACCTCTCACCTAAAAATAAAGAGAAATATCATTAGACCGTAATACTAAGTGGCATATTTTGATAGTTTAGACAAATGATATCGCCTAAAATAGGTGATCTACTTGGAAAATGCAAGAGGAGGTGAAGCCCTTTATTGGAGCTTGGCCCTGCAGCTCAACTTGGGAAGTGACATAATGTAGGTAGAAATGTCGCTGTCAACTGGATGCTCTAGCCCAGTGACCAAAGATGTTTGTAACTCATTTCGTTAAGAGCATTCAAACTACAACTGAGATTTCGTGTTCAAATCGTCCTTTACGTCTAAATTTATTTACTTATTTTACCATTTGTCAGAAAAAGGTAAAGGACAATGTAATAATTATTTATTATTTGAAGACCTCTTAAAATTACACATTGAAAATAATATTCAATACCACGAATCCCTAGGAACCAACCATAGAAATATACCAATAGCAGGCATTACCGTTGATCGCTCGCTCTCTAGATTACTTCTTGTTGTCTCAGTACTTGCAACTCGCGAAACAAAGCTAAGCAGAGGGCTTTCGACACTCGCAAAGCAAAAACATGAGGCCTTCAATGTCCATCGCCAGATCCGTACACCGAGTCGCCCGCCGCAGCTACTCATCCGCCTCCGTCCCCGAGCGGAAGGTCGCAGTCCTCGGCGCCGCCGGCGGCATCGGCCAGCCCCTGGCTCTCCTCATGAAGCTCAACCCCCTCGTCTCCCACCTCTCCCTTTACGATATCGCCGGAACCCCGGTGTCGCCGCTGACGTCAGCCACATCAACACCAGATCTGAGGTACTCCGAACCCTCTCTAATACTTCCTCTTCGCCGATCGGGTGTTTCCGATTCGATCTTAAATTTTTACTTTGGTGATTAGGTGAAAGGTTATGCAGGAGAAGAGCAGCTTGCTCAAGCCTTGGAGGGAGCCGACGTCGTAATTATCCCCGCCGGAGTGCCCCGAAAGCCCGGCATGACCCGAGACGATCTCTTCAACATTAATGCCGGTATCGTCAAGGGTCTCACTACCGCCATCGCTAAGTACTGCCCCAATGTGAGTATCCCTTTTGTGCCCTATATTTCTAAGAAATTTTTGGAAATCTTGAGTATTTGATCGAATTGGGATGTTGGGTGATTGTTTTTTATAGGCACTGATCAACATGATTAGCAACCCAGTCAACTCCACGGTCCCGATTGCCGCTGAGGTGTTGAAGAAGGCCGGGAAGTACGACGAGAAGAGGTTGTTTGGTGTCACTACTCTTGATGTGGTCAGGGCTAAGACTTTCTATGCTGGAAAGGCCAATGTTAATGTTGCTGGTATATACATTATTGACCCGCCTTCTAAAAGCTCTGTCCTTTTAGCTATGTTTATCATTTTTTGTGCTTCTGTTTCGGGTTTTTGCAAAAGATTGATGTTCTCGAATCTCAACTTAGCTAGATGTAATTAAAGCATTTCTATTGTACTTTTTGAGGGGTTTTCGAAGCCGAGTTCTTTTGTAAGATTGCGTTTTGTTCAGTACTAAACAAGGAAATGGTTTATGTTTGCAGAGGTTAATGTACCAGTTGTTGGTGGCCATGCTGGCATCACCATTCTGCCACTATTTTCTCAGGTATATATCACTCGAATAGTTTAAGGCTTGCAGTTGGATTGTATGAGATTAATTTCAGTGTTCCTGCTGTGGCATCTGCTTTGGTTGGGCTTGGCTTAGAGATGTCTAATTTTTTACTGTTCTTTTTAATGTTTTAGGCTACGCCGGCAGCCAATTTGCCTCATGATGTTATTGTGGCTTTGACAAAGAGAACACAAGATGGAGGAACGGAAGTTGTGGAGGCGAAGGCTGGAAAGGGATCGGCAACATTGTCAATGGCGTAAGTGTTAGGATAAAACCATTGTGTGAACACTTTGTTTTACAAAGATGATTTGACTTTATGTTTCATCATTATATGTGCCTATTTTTATATTGACATTTATATCTCATGTAATGCACAAAGATGTGAAAATGTATGTGGTGGATGTTTCCTAATAATATGTTTTATGTGTTAAAACATTATGGCTCCATAGCTATTCCAAGGTGTTACATGCTTCTTCCATAATGTTGTTTCCCTTTTGTATTCCTCCATTGATTTCTTTGTTTCAGTTTTCTATTTTTGTTGGGGAAAGCAAAGAAAAAGAAATTTATGTTTTTTGCTGGACTAACTTACTGTTTATCTTGCAGCTATGCTGGAGCTATTTTCGCTGATGCTTGTCTGAAGGGACTTAATGGAGTACCTGATGTTGTGGAATGTTCGTATGTGCAATCAAGCATCACTGAACTTCCTTTCTTTGCTTCTAAGGTTAGTGAGATCAACAAATTAGGGATTCATCTCCTCATCTTTGAATTTTTTTAAGCATTTAGTTCATAACTTTCTTTTGTTTTTCCTCGAGCTATTTTTATTTCTTAATATACCAGGAATTGGATTTACGGATGAGTGCTGTTCAGCTTTAATATTGCAATGTGCTACTTATCATGTCTCCAAATGTGATTATGTTTGTAGTCATGCATACTAGCCTGTGCCTTGATTGTGTTTCCCTGGTGGCTACCGCCTGGAACAGTTGTGTATAAATCTCTTTGCTAGACGGTGCACTTCCTGTTTTGGCTATTGATGGCTGTTCTGTTTTCACCATATGGTGGTTGAAATATATTAGTTAATAGTATGTCTCAACCATTGTGGTTGCATACATGTCTGCATGTTACATGAGTTAAAAGCTCGAATTGCCACTTAGTACTACAGTCTGGTGGTATTTCTCTTCACTGGAAGTGAGAGGTCTTAGGTTCGAATCTCGTGGATAGCGAATTCAATACAGGCTGCCCATTGTGTGGCTTAGCCGAACTCCCCCTCCCCTTAGTGTAAAAATAATATCGATGTACTCAAAAAGCTCGAATTGTAACACATGCTTATGGAGGGTAGACACTTAATAGATATAGCATATGTTGGTCAGTTGCATTGCATATCACCGTAATGGTTCATCCATACAATGGCCAGTTTTAATCTTGCGTCTCGTGTTTGTCTAGTTGGTCGTGAAATTGCTGATGCTATATTTTCCTTGACCTTTCTTGTCATAAGCAATAAACAATACTCTGCATTGGTTTTCAGGTGAGACTTGGAAAGAATGGAGTCGAGGAAGTTTTGGGGTTGGGTAATCTCTCGGACTTTGAACAGGAAGGACTCCAAAAATTGATCCCTGAGCTCAAATCATCCATCGAGAAGGGTATCCAGTTTGCCAACCAGAGTTAGTGTAATGTATTATTGGTGCCTTGGGGGGTGGGGTTTATCTACCCATCCCGATGGTAACACATCCAAATTTTGCATTTGTCCAAGTAGTATTGTATTTTTAGTGCTGCTAGCGGCACATGCATCGGCTTTGCTGTTCTCATTGGAGTAAGCTCTAATAGACCGAGGTTTCTATAAATAATTCCCAATGACATGCTATGGGAGGGGGTTAAGTTGTTTGAACTTGAATCATCATAATGTTTCATCGAATTAAAAGTTGATTAGTGGTTACTGGTTAGTCACTGAAACTGGATCATAATGCTTGTGAGTTGCGAGTCTGATCGTCATCGGTTTTACCTATAAAGATTTGTGATATTATCTTCTTCTGCCTGTTTCTTGAATGTGTTTACGCCTTCTTGTGGTGCGTAGAGGCAAATATTTCTTATTTCCTTTCTCGCAATTTCTTCTTCAAAATAGTTTTGTGCACCTCGTCTCTCGTTGCGTGAAAGGAGGCAAACAACAGGGGTATGAATGTGCCACTACCAAAGTTCTTTTGTTAGCAATTCATCACGTCGCAAACCTCTATTTGGCAAATGGTTCACTTTTTGAACATCGGGACGCTCCAAATTGCTAAAGAACAAGGATCCCACTTGGACTCGGCCGGCGTGACCTCCACGACTACAAATCACAAATTCACCTAAGAGTAGACCTCTGTTTTTTTCTATTTGCTTGGGCAGAGCGGTGTATAGATCTTGGCAAAATTCTACAAAAGATTTACTATGCTTCGGTGTATCTTATACACGGGGATTATTGGTAGCTAGATCTTGATCATTGGGTGATTGACCAAATTCGACGAAAAACCGTTTCATCCAATTTGTTCATAAACTTCTCTAAGACCCCGAGATGTCAAGAGATGTGAAAGGACTTGTGTAAGTGACTTCCAAATTCTAAGGCAAGGCAAAACGAGGAAGAAGTGGATCACAAAAATTAGACACGAGGAATTTGAAAATGCACCTCTTATACGTCGTAGGAATTTGTAAATGACTACTTTCATGCCTTTGTAATGCTCATGTACTGCATTTCTAATCCCTACTATCGAACTTTTTCTGATCGATTTCTTCATCACTATGCCTAAATCCCTTTGGATTTTGAAAGTTCCTCGCCCAAATATAACCCTTAATGTCCTACACATGAGTTTTAGGAAAATGTTGCGAGTTTAGTATGCTTATGAATTAGGATTAATAACTCCAAACTGTTGCAAATTTAGGATGATAGTAGTAGCTTAAGGTTGTGTTTGGTGCTTATGATCGGATAACTCAATCGATTCGGATTTAAGGTCAATTACTAAACTGTGTCCTAGCTGAATGAATTAGGTGGAATATCATGAACGGATCCCTTCTAATCCCCACGAAATGTAGGATGGGAAGGAATAAGTTACCTTCACGGGTCATCTATCTTCTTCTACCTTAAACTCAGACAAAATTTGGTATTTGGCCTCTAATTACTTAACACTAAACATTCTCGAACATTTACAAATTTCCAGCAAACCGGATGCAAAAACTTTCAACTCCAAAACTTTGCAACTCCGGTACAACTACAACTTCCAGATTTTTTTTTGTACGGAGAAGGCCTAGGATGTTCCAAACAAATGGTAGAAGTGCAACTGAAAAGAAAAGATACTATTTTTAACTTCCAAGGATTTATCACAATTTCTGTTTGAATTTTTTTTTTTTGGGGGGGGGGGGGGGGGGCGGCTTTCATATATTTGTGCCTTCGCACAGATTCACTTGGCCCCACACATGCCACACAAGCATCTTAACAGAATTTGTAACGGAATCTCATGTTAAGGACGAACGTGATGAAAACCCTAAACACGAGAGAAGTTTTTTGTTATCAATCCAACACGTGTAAGTAGATCCTGGACAAATTGTTTCACGTTTATTGGGCAGATAACGCCATTGAAATTATATATCAAATGTAAGAGAGAATCTCTCTAAGAATAAGGTTAAATATTAAGTCAGAAACAGACGAATTATTACTTTTCATTGACGTACTCAAAAAGTGATACATCGTTGGAGAACTCATCAGTTTAGTTCGACGAAAATTCTACTATACTCCGGTGTAATCACCAACCCCAAATTAAATTCTTGGACTACAGATAACAAAACCAGAGTGACCCCAAGACCAGGTAAAGAAACCAGAAGGGTGTGCACTAAGACGAGTCAGAAGCACAACCATAAAAACAACTTCTAACATATCACTTTTTAAAAGGAAATGATGAGCAAGTAGCTTGAAGTTTCCACTCGTACACATTTTTCATACAAACTGTTTCCTGCCATCATAATTGTTCGTTCTACGACTTTCATACAATGTCTTCCCTAATCAACAACTAATTAATTTACCTTCCTACATCAATGTACACCTTCGACGAACTCTGATCAGGAGCAGCAGTTGACCCGCTTTGGATGCTTTGATCTACACCAACTATATCCCAGGTCGAACAAAAAACTTCGCAAAAGATCTGAGATGTCAAGAAATGTGAAAGAAACTTGTGTGAGACGTCTCCATCATAACAGAAGCCACATAACTAGTGAATGACTGAATATGTCATGCATGTACAGAATCACTCAACCTGAATTTTAGGAAACCGTTGCAAATTTAGTATGCTTATGAATCGGGATTTAATAACATTATCCAAATTTATGCAAATGTCTGTTACTAAAATCAAATATCTTAAAGATTGTCACATAACTACTGGATCTTGTATGTGCATTTAAAGATGTCCGTAGCACGCAAGCTATCTATGTATAATACAAACTCAGAATCCTAGTATATGCATATACACTAACATTTAGAGGTTGTGGCCATATTTTAAAACGAATATTATTGGAGCAACTCGTAAGTGTTGCTCTCAAACCAGCCAGAGTTTTCTTGATACATGAGTGTGCACGCACGCACGCACATGGACACTTCACCGACATGCACACGAACACACTGCAGTCACACATGCTTATCCATACATATGCAGAAGCGTTGTAAATAAACTATGACCATGATATCTTTTCATCATTTGTAACTAAGGAACACAAATAAGGTTCAAAACCCCATTAGACATTCACAGTTTGAAAAATTTCATGGTAATTGGAGAAACTTCACGAATCCAGTGGACAGCCACTGCAAAACAAAAATTCAAGGCAAAAGCCTCACTGGTACTAGAGTGATGAAAGTTTTTTAAACTGGAAACGTCATGAAATACAGAACAAAGACATTCAACATATTATGGAACACAATTTGGGATTGTAAAACTTGAAGAAACAAACAATTTCCCATTGGTCTAATGGAAAGTTAGATTAAACTACTGTTAGGGCACCCCAAACATTTTATAAATTGGTCTCCTGCTAATTATTATGATCCAAATAAAATGAAAAACTTTTAATGGAAAAACCACAACGGTCTAACACTTCTGACAGATATCTCTGCATTTATTTATTGACAAATAGCCATTGAGTGGAGAGAAAAAGAACGATCATAATTGCTGCAATGACAACTGGCACAATACAAATTATCGTTTAGTTATATAACGGAAACTCAAAGTTTTACTCTCTTTCTAGTTTCTTTTTTAGGGTTTCCAAGATCAAAGAAACTCAATTGTAACCAATCATAGAACCCAAAGATTGAATATTATAATTCCGTTGTTACGTTCTGTTCTTGATTCAAGATTTATTCAGTAGTCGACAGGCCAACTTTGACTAAAAAATAAGAATAAAATCATTAACCAAGATAGTGCCACCTACCTCAACTAAATCAATTCAAGTCCTAGGTCAATGATTTGAATCTGATTCAACACCGGAGGAACTTTCATTGTCAGAATCTGCATAATAGAGTATACCACAATAAATAAACTCTCAACAACATAAAACAGAACTAGGACCTTACATGAATAGTAACAGAAAAACACTGACAATTACCACTTGAAGAGGATTCAGAATCACTCCTAGAACTACTTGATCCACTCACATTATCACCTTGCTCTCTCTTCGAACAGGGGAAAAGGCATTACTGTTGTTTTCCTCTTCTAAAAACGAAACAGGAAGTGTTAAGCAAATAGAACGTCATAGATTCAAGAGTGACCTCAACCAATGTGCCACTGATGTTTAAGAGTTAAAATTTATTACCTGCGTTGGCGTCTTTTGCTGCAACTGTAGTGGTTGGTTCTACAGTCTGCAAAGATGATAAGTTAATCATGTATTAGCCAGAAAAACTTAAAAGTGAGAAGCAGGGTAGGGAACTAATTTAATGTCTTACCATCTCCTGGATGGCATCGCTGGGCTCTGCTATTGATTTAGGACCAAGCTCCACAGTTTCTGTTAACTTTGCTCAAGCTTTTTTTGTAATTAGTCACAAACCTATCCAGTTCCCAAAGCGTTTCAGGATCAACACTACCAATGTCCACCTCAATCTCATCCTCTTGCTGAAAAGGCCCTGGGTTCCTCTTCCTAATAATCTTCACAACGTTATCTAGTTTCTCAGAAGGCAAAGTCATAAGGCTTGCGCTGAGCCTCTGCTTCTCCTCATAAGTCATATCCCTTTTGTCGGGGTCCCTAGCTTTTGGTTTCTTTGGAACTGATACCCTACCTGAATGACCAGAACCCACAGGTTTCAACTTGGGATCAACAGGCTTTGTCGTAGATTCTGCTCTATCCAAAGTCCTCATATTTGATGCCGGAAGAGGAACAGGAGCTTCAACCTTTCTTGAAAGAGGTGTTGTGAAATTTGAAGTATTACCCAATCCATTTCTCAGATTGAGATTATACTCAGCCTCTATATCAGGTCCACTTGGCTTCAAACATCTTCAACAATTGGTCTGCCATAAGATGAACATCCTGCTCTTTCGGGTTATACAACATTGCATTATTAAATGTAAGTCTCACATCCTCTGCAAATTCCTCAGGCGTCTTATACCAATTCTCGTTCAGCCTCGTCCTCACCGTGCCCAAATCCATCGGTTTCTTAACAATCTTAAAGTAATCATGAAGACCAAGCATCTTCGCATCAACAGGCTTATTAAACACCCAGCCAAACTTATGCTTCATCAACTTGTCTAGCAAAGCACAACAATTCTTGAACATTTTACTCGGATTCTTACCTGACCTGAACCAAGGCTCTCCTCCACCCCCACCTCTCCCCCCTCCATTGGGTTTCAACTTCTTGCTACTCCCCGAAGGCGGTAACTTTCCCTTCCCAATTGGAAACTCCGAACACTGATTTGTCTTCGGCCTCTTCTTCACTATCTCTTTCTCCACAAACCGACCAACCCCATTCATATTCTCTGCAACCGAAACACTCAAACCCCGATTCAGCCCCGAATCACGGAGTCCTACAGAACCTGCCTCCGAGTTGACCCTCATTGTAGGTTTAACATTATCTACCGCATAATTAGCCGAAAATTGCGATTGACCATACCTGTCACCAAGATCAACCTCCTTAGCTTCAAGATTCTTCACCAAGCGCCTGACTTGCTCGAGCTCACCCATCAGCTTCCCCTTAATCTCTCTCCTATCGTCCTTGGACTGAGAATTCAACCGAATCCGAACCATGTTCCCGAACTTGGCGTACCCACGCGGACCGTCGTCCGGCTCGGCAAGGCCCGGCAGCAGGCCATTGTGGCTCGTCGAATCGTTGGACGCCAGTGCGCCGCAGAGTTGCGTCAGGTTCTAGGGCGGCGGCGATGAGTGGTGGAGGACATGGTTGGCACTGTGACTTGTTCTGGAATAGGCCTTGTTGCTCGCTTCGTCACCTACCAATGGTACTGAAACCAAAATAAGGAAATGCTTCCAAAAACCTGAAATTTGATTTCTTCAAGATTCGCCTGCAGAAATGGAAATTGAATAAAAGCTACGGTTTGGGGAAGAAAACCCTAAAAGTTAATACATGAAAAACCCTGAGTTTCAATTTTTTTTTTTTTTGTTGAAAAACCCTAAATTTCTAAATTTGCTGAAAACCCTAAATTTTGTTCTAGGAATTTGGGACAAAGATTCCTACTTTTAGGGTTTGGTGAAATTCGGGATCATGGGCAGGGGAGGTTGTCGTACCTTTGTGGTAGCAGATAGTGGCTCTCTGCAGTAGTAGTGCATCATCTCCGGATCGAATTCTGAGATTTGTAAATCGTATCCGTTCATTGTATATTATACGGTCAGTTTGTCAAGTACTGTTTATGTTTATTTTTAAATAAAAATATTTAAAATAATTTTTTATCGGATAATATACGATGAACGGACACGATTTACAGATCTTCGGAATCCTCACAAAGAGGATCCGACGAGAATCCGGAGTCGTAGTAGTGATGCTAGTGCAGTCGGATTAGGATTTTAAGATCGGTGGTGCTAATACATAAGTTGTTAATGGAACGATGGATCAGAGTCTAAGCCTATGGGGCTGGGCATTTTTTTTTGAGGTCCTAGGAATTTCTAGTGATTTTCATAAAAAATTTGTGGTGTTAAACATATGGTATAAAAAATATTAATTGCGTAATACATCGTCATTTATTAATTAAAATGGCGGCACATCTTGATTGGTCTATAACTAAAGAAGGAAAAAAGGGAGATTGGTCTCGTGAGAAATAGAGAGAGCAAGTCTTTCTTTGAACAAGGTTCAAGAACAAAAGAGTCATGGTGGTCTTTATGTGTTTCTCTTTGTTTGAAATTAGATTTTTTTTTTTTGGTTCAAAACTTATGTTGCACAGCATCGGTACAACCATGGTGATCTTCTCTTCCACCACCTGCCTAGATTGTTGGGGTGTCCTCAAAAGCCCTCACAACCACTTAATTGGACCTTCACATGGATGATCTCCCCCTGGTTCCCATTGTGTCATTTTGTTTGTAATTGTCGTCGTTTTAAGATTTTATTATTATTTTCATTGGATATTGTTATTTGTTTTGGATAAACAAGTTAAGCTCACTCATGAATAGAGGAGAGGGAGTCTCGAGCCCTGGACATGCGAGTAGAAACCCAACTCTATCCACTATATGCATTTAAAATACTAATCCTTAAAGTATACTATTAATATTTAATTTTAATACGTTACATGGAGGCTAAGCTTAATACCAAATCATGGTTTCCATCATAGTCACTTTGTCGCCGTCATATGCATATCCTCGAGTGAAAGAAAAAAAATTTGGAAAAGAAAGGGGAGTAGAAATCACTCCCCCTTATAACTCCTCCATTTTTTTAAGCTAGTCAAACAAAAAATTAAAGGACAAAATTTAGCAGAAGAGCTCACAACGTCAAGGAGGGTGCGATAATTACTTGTCAAAATATACACTTGCAACTTGAAAGTGAAATGTCTATTGGTACTAGTCTAGTGAAATTGTTTTGTATTTGTAAATGATGACTTTCAAACCAATTCAATCTTCCCAACCCCTCAGTTTGAATATGACTCGTTTGGAAGCTCTTCTAATATGATTGAAAACACTTTTAGGAAAAATGTTTTTGAGTTTCAAAAGCACGTGAAGTGCTTCATGCATGTACTTCTTGTAAGAAGCACTTCAAGTGTTTTTCTAGGTTTTACTTGTATTTTTATTAAGAATTGGTCTAAAAAATATTTTCACTAAAAGTATTTTCCATCATTTTAAAAGTATTTTCAAATGAGCCATATATCGTTTATGCCATGGTATGAAAAAACTTCAACTCTTAACTACAGAGTTGCCGAGATCTCATCAGGATGGATCATGTGCTGCAGTTACTATACAAAAATGGAACAAGTTCCAGGATGGATCAGGCAGCAATGGCCGAAGCCCTTTATTTAATCCCTTGCGAAAAGTCATCGAACAACTTGCACTACCAACTTAATATAATATCAATCAAACCATATTCTTCATCAACAAAAAATGTGAAACGAACCAAAACTTTCTTTGAGAAATTCTTAGAAATGGGATTGAAGCACCAAGCTCCCAAACCTTCCTCCAAATTTTTCTCTTTCAGATATTCAACAATTTTCACATTGATCCTACTCTTCACATCCTTCTTCCTCTTCCTTGCATCCCTTAGGAACGTTCAAGAACCCTTTTTTCGGGTCCATTTTCCCCAATTCAATGGTGATCTTAGAGATGCTAAGTTCCCTTGGAACCGGCTTTGTTTTGGAACGACATACGAAAGGCTCAAGCTCGCCGTCTTCTCCAAGACGTGGCCTGTTGGCCCGGCTCCAGCAGGATGGAGCGCCATGCTTCGACTTTGTACCATGAGCTTGCTGCCAGGGCCACAAGATTCATGTCTTCACCGTGCCTTCTGGCAGGAGGGCACGGTGGGACATACATGAAGGTAACCTTCATGTGTATTTTGCATCCAATAATCATGGCTCTGTTAACATCTCTTTAGCATTTGAAATTTTCAATAAAGCCAATGCGAATACGGCGTTTGATTTTGTGCACACCGAGAGCGTTTCGCTGGCGCTGGCGTGCGAAAATGGTTACGAATGTGGCTGTCACTTGGCATGGGATATGGTACGAAATTATGCACTCCAAGTTGCTGCAAGTGCTTCTTTTGATTCCGAAAGGGTGGCAGCTGGCAGAGCCGACAGCAGAGCTTCACGAAGCAATGCCAAGGCTTGTAGAGGAAATTTGATTCTTTAGAAGCTACACCCAGCACATATGCACAAGCAGTAGTGCCGGTGAGATTCTAATGAACATCTATCAACTCCCCCAGAGAAATGTACAGGTCATACTCAACGGGGTTGATGAAACAGAATTTACCCCGGACCAAGAAGCGGGTGCAAGGTTCTCTGAAAAACATGCAGTGCCTTCCAATGCGAGCATTGTGATGGGAGTTGCAGGGCGGTTGGTGAGGGACGGAGGGCATCCGCTTCTCTATGAGGCCTTTTCTTTGATTGTGAGGCGCCACCCCAGTGTTTTTTTACTTGTAGCAGGGGCAGGTCCTTGGAGAAGAAGGTACGGCGAATTAGGCCCAAATGTAAAGATTTTAGGAGCACTGGAGCCTTTGGAGCTGTCTTAATTTTACACTGCGCTCGATGTGTATGTGAATCCGACATTGAGGCCTCAAGGGCTTGATCTACATTGACCGAAGCAATGCATACTAGGAAACCAGTTTTAACACCGAATTATCCAAGCATTGTTGGGACTGTGGTTGTAGATGAAGAATTCGGATACACATTTTTGCCCAATGTCAAGTCTTTCATACAGGCATTGGAGTTGGTGATTAGAGACGGATCTAGTGTGCTGAAGAGGAAAGGCCTGGCTTGCAAGAAATATGTGGTTTCGATGTTCACTGCAACGAAAATGGCATCAGCATACGAACGCTTCTTTCTCTGCATGAAGAACGAAAAGTATTGCCAGTACACTCTTCCCACCGATTGTTAGAAGTTTTTGGGAGTTCCAACAGTTGAAGCAACATTTGGACCATATATGAGTACTTACACACTTTTTAATCTTATATTTACTTACATATATGATGTATTTTACCCAGAAAATAATCTTCTGCATTAGTTTTCTTGTACGTTTTCCATACCGGTACTAATTGTAACAGCTATCTTCACAGTCATAAACTTAATTTCTGGTTGAAAACGGGTAAATCGAAGGGCCATAAAAGTGTGTCTCTCAATCCTGAAGAATTTCCTAGTTGGCTTTGGTCGCTGTTGTGGTAAGGCCAAATCCAAAGGGGAAGAGAGGGTCATAATGGTGCATCTCCAACATTCATAGGTAATTGATCAACGCTTTTGAACCAAGTCCGAGGAAGCTTGCCAGTGAACCATAGTCACCAAACAAAACATCAGCTACCCCTTGGCCTTCTGTTTCTGGAAGCCAAGCTGCAACAAGAGCATTGATCATCGGAACATAGGGTTAGATCTCAACAGGACGGTCAGAGATGACGTAACAACACATTTCACAAAGTCAGAGTCAGGATTTTTCATTGTAAACTACTTCGGTTGGAGGATCCACTGGGTTCTTTATGGCACTAATAATTGTGGTACCTGTTGAAGAAAAAAAAAAGTATCATTAGAGCTTCTTTTTTGGGTCGGAAAGTTTCATATAGCGCTTAGTATAGGTAGATATTTTGGTCCTGACAGATCTTATAGGAAAACATGTCTTAGGAGGACATTATGTTTCAAACAACAGAAAGAGAAGGCTCTCAATTTACCTTCTGTGAGATTATTGCCGCTTGATCCCTGCCTCTCGATGGTCCACCTGCCACACAGATATCCAAGTTTATCTGCATGACTGCCGCTTCTGTGAGATCACTACGGATTATCCATTCTTTAGCAGCACTAGCAATCTCCTCACAGCTTCCCGAATCAGATTTTCTATGTTCCTGTGAACGTAGTAACACGAAAAAATCATGTTGAATTATAACAATACAACATTCCCTAGATGATAAATAGAATTTATTATGGAAATCCTTTCTGGAGTTAAAATTCAAAACAAAACAAAAGGAGAATTGGAGACTTGGAGTGAGATCAGATCACCGGCAGCAGGTTGTGGCACGGTGAATTCAGATTTTCAAAATAACAATAGTACTAGGGATTGTCATATCTTTGAGTGCTCAAACAATCAAAGAGTGGGCCAACTCGTAACAACACACAAACATGTCATCTGCTACATCATTTGGCGACTAAGATTTGAGACATGTTTTGGCAACTCTAGCGTTATTTCTGGCAAAAAGAAAACTCCTAAGTTGGCTAATGATGTTGGGGATTTGGTCCTCCAGGTGCAGGTCTCTTTACATCACCAAGAAGAAACCTTCAACGAAAAAACTCCTTTTTCGGTACATGGAACCCAAATTTACGAAAAAATATATTGCTATCAGTTTTATTGGGAAGAGTTGCGAACACGAGAGAAAAACACCCCTGAGCTCACTACAAGCATCGAAGGAATGATCATGAATGGTAGCAACAAGCAGCTTGCCCTCAGAAAACTAGGCATGCTGATCAGTGAAAGGCTTAAAATCGTATTCAAAGTAGCTTTGAGCATAATATATATAGTAGCAACAAGCAGCTTGCCCTGAGAAAACTAGGCATGCTGATCAGTGAAGGGCTTAAAATCGTTTGCTCAAAGTAGCTTTGAGCATATACATACATACATACAAACATATATATATATATATATATATATATATATTGAAGCACAGAGAAAGTGGGAGAATCTTTCTTTGAGGTCTTTGATTAAATATAAATTGCTCTCATATCATGCGTAATAGAATACTGCAAGAAATGGCTGTCCTGTCTGATATGAAGTTACATAAACACAATTTGTTAAGTCACTCCAAATCACACAGATCTGTGTCTCTCCTCTCACTGACTGTCATCACTTCGTTTTTTCGTCACATCTACCCATTCCCTCTATCTCTTAGGTCACCACAAGAATGACCCCAGACGAAACACTAAGACATAAAAGCCTTTCGGCTTTTCGCACGTCCAAATAGCAGGAAGCAAATGGATCTCACTGACACTGCATTTTACGGAATATCGTTCGAGGGCCGATGCCCTTTCCCCGGCCTATGTAGTCTATGGTTCTGAAAGTTCTAATTAACTGACCCAGCACAAGCGAAGAGAGATACGAACATAAACCCTCGTAGAATAAGTTTTCTGGAATTCACCAGAGTTTGAGAGAAAACCCAAAAGGAAGCAGCCACGACTTAAATAGGCCGTGTTATAAAACTTTTGGACAACTTAAGAGGCTTAGGAAAATAAAAAAATTAAGTGACATTAATCGAACGACAAACGAAAAGTTCGATTTTTATTACAGAAATTAAAATACAATTTTGGTAGCTTAAATGGCATCGGATGACTAAAATTCATCTTATATCACGGTACAAACGTGAGTTTGAACGGCGGTGTCATTCCCTCTCCACACAAGTTGAGCTCAAACCGGAGCTCGGACGCCATACCTACGAATTCCCAATGCGTCATTTTATCTTCTAATGATCTATTTTCTCTTCAATCCACTTAGCCATTGTTTTAAATCATTAACTATGGTAAGGCTGCTTCGCATATTCCTTATCTTAGCGTACGTATAGATTCTTAGGTCTTGCTTAAGTATGTTAGTGCTTCTACACACATATCCAATGTGTCATGTGAATAAAATTCACACCCATTTTCTATAATCCAATTGCATATTAATATTTTTGTTCCTAGATGAATCTTTTCCTCTGTAATTGTTGTGTCTTTTTAATGAAGCTCTCTTTAACAAAAATAAACAAATTAAAAATACAAAGAGCAAACTGTTATAAAATAAAAATAAAAATAAAAGTTCTTCAAATAGTTGTGGAACTATTAAAGGCATGGCAAATAAGATATAAAAAGGTGACACAAGAGGGCAGAAAAGGTCAAAGAACACATCATTTCAGGAGTTCAGATAATCACGTTTTGTCTGGAAGGTAAAGCTAGTCGTTAAGGTACAACTTGGATATGACAATCAAGGGACTCGTGCATGAATATTGGATAAGTACTAGAGCACCACGCATGAATGATACACCGAAAAATAAATCATTTCTTCTTGTTTAATTTTAGCTTATAAGTTAATATGATTACATCATCTCTTTCCATCTTTATAGTTAAGGTGCTTATCGATTCATATTTTAAATTTTTGGTTACCCATTAAATGACTTCCACCAATGCCAATCTCTACTTTGTTTTTTCATCCTTGAAATGATTTTTACAAGTTTTAGGCAATAATTCACAAGAGGATATATAATCCAAATTATTATGAACACAGTTTTTTGGCTAGTTGACTTAACCCCCATATGCATATAAATTTATTATGCTTACTATAAGTTTGACCCTTTTTTTCTCATTACAAGCGATATGACTAATTTAAGCTATACTAAGAGGGAAAAAATGGTTTGAACGTCATACATAGTGCGTTGATAGAAAGACTCTATCCATCAATGCAATCTACTACTTAATTTCAGGAATAATCTATTATGATAAAAAAAAAAAAGGGGGGGCTTAATTCACGCCACACCTTATAATTGGATATGTGAGTGTGCGTAAGTGTTTGACGTCATTAAACTAACAAAAAAAATTTAACAAAAGTGAACGGTATGAATGACATTGATGTGTTGTAGTAAAATTTAAGGACGACATTAATTGATCATCAACTTGAGGACTAAAATAATAATTTTATGTAAAATTTAAAGATTTTTTGTGATGAAAATCCAAATATAATTAGGATATATGTCAACTTGCTCTATTGACAAGGCGGCAGTAGTGTTAATTACTTTACGCGTAATGTTAGTTTAAATTAAATGAGTCCAAACAGCCTTAATTCATAGGGAGGTGGATTGTCTGCCCTCCCATTTTCATATTCTTTTCATGCTTTTCTGTGATTTATAGTCACAGGTTAAGCCACGTCAATATTTTATATTAGTTTTTTTTATAGAAATAATAAAACAAAATGTAATAGAAATATAAAATGTTGACGTGGTTTAATCCTGACCACACAAATAAGAGGACATGAAAAATGGAAGGCAAACAATCCACCTCTAATTTATAGGAGTGTTAAGCCACCCACTTAAAAGTGAAAATATTATTGACAACTTTGTCCATATTATTAACAACTTTGTCCGGGAATGGCTGTAAGGACCTAAACAATAACTAACAATATTTTGCCACGTAAGCGTTGGTTTTTCCCATTAAAAACCAAAATAGAAGAAAATAAAAACAATAAAATTTCATAAACCACCCCCACCCCTCATTGCCACTGTTACAACCCCGACAAGTCCACACCCACACGCCTCCCTTCCGACGGCGTCGATATCGGCTCCAATCTCTTTTAACTCTTCCCTTATCCCCTTCTCTCATGACAGTGTACAACCTCGATCTAATTCCGACAATGAAAAAGAATGTGTACAGTGAAGGAAGAAGGGGAAACCTGTGGAGGTGGGCAGTTTCGAGGCTATATGCTGCCAAGGTTGGATGGAGGGTAGCCTGGTTGTTAGTGCGTCTGCTGTATTGCTGGTCGTGGTGCAGGTGGGATTTGGAGGTCTGCTGTTTCGATGCTTTGGAATTTGGGATGGTTAATTGATTTTTATCATTTGTTTTGTTACAGATAATGCAAATATATATCCTATTATATTATAAATAAAATGTAAAAGAATATAGAGATATAATAAAAAAAACACTAACGAAAAGTTCAAAATTTTTTTCCTTTTAATGAAGAGTCATTTTTAAAGGTATAATGAATACTACCAGGGATATGTATAAATATAATTTTTCGTTAAAATTAAACAGTACCAGAAACGTCTTATTAAATCTTCCTAAAATAAAAGGTTGTATAAGGAATAAAGGTCGGTGGAAGCAGAGAGTTTTATCTTTTTTAGTTTTTTTTTATAGTGTGTGGGGAAATAAATGGGGTGGGCATAC